CGCCTGAGTTGACCGGTGCTTGGCTATAAAACCCGTATTTTGTCGATAGAGTATTGAAAAACAAGCGAAGAAAAAACGTATTTGGGCGTATGACCATCTTTTTCGGGCAAAGCCTCCGGACAGAAAGAAAGCAGTGCTTTGGGGCTCCAGGTGGTGAAAACAGAGACCGGCTTGAAGAAGGACCCCCCATGGTTTTCACGAGGGGATGGTTTTCGAGAGGGTGGTATACAAAGTCATTGACGCGTGGAACCTGACAGGTAGTCACACAGTAGGAGTGCTGAAGTTGTTAGACATGTCAAAGCCTGCTTCATGTCACCCGTCTGAGTGCTTTTCGTTCGGCTCGTGACAATGACTGGCCCTGGAGAGAACGATATTGGCTCCTTTGGCCGGCGGCCTGCTTGATGCTGGCATGTGAGGAATTTCGCTCCAACCTGTAGTCTTTGACCCCCCCACTCGCCAGCTTGACTTTAGCCCTCGCAAGTTCAAAGCATCTTTGTTGGGGGGTTCGGTCATTGCCTGCATGGGCGCGTGTCATTTGGGCTTACCGTCCAGTCCAGTTCCAGTTGGGGGACAGGTTGCCGACCAAGCCTATGGCTCGCGCCAGGACGGGGTGCTCAGCTGCCGGGGCTTGATCCACTCGGCGGAGGTGCCGGAGGGCAAGTACCTAGCATCCTGTCAGGGCTGCAAGGCGCCCTCTGGGGGAGGGGGGAGGGGGGCGCGGGGGTTCAATCCTAATTAAAGCACGACGTCAGTGGCATTGATTAAGTTAATGCCCTCCTCAGCATGAATGCCGCGAGTTTCAAGCGTGTCAGCAGTGCCCCGCGACCGCCTTGCCATGAATGCCTTGCGCGGCCTAGCGAGGGCCTTCGAGCAGCACTGGAATTCAGCCGCACCCCGCTTGAACCATGTGCTTAATTGACAACAAGACACAGTCTGCAGCGTTTGCTGCAGCTGCAGCTCTGCTGAGCCTGAGCATGACACAAACAACTCTACAGTCTGCCTTTTTGCCATTGGAGTACGTCGTGCCCCTTCATCTTTAGTCTTTGTCCGTTCCCTTTTTTGCCATCCTTCAAGGTAAGCCTTGCTTGCTGGTTTGGGGAGTCGCTGAAACTACTGGGATGGCCTGGCAACCAATTCAAACCCAGAAGCTGAGGGGCAACGAATCGACCTTCCGACAGGTGTCTGCGGAGCTGGTGGTGTGCGCTCTCTGCTCCAAGGCCGACGGGCGCCAGGTGGAAGCCTCTTCTCCACCCTGCGAGGGAGAGCTCGAGAACCAGGAAGGGACCTTTGGAATTTTGTTCCCTTGGAGTCAAGAGATGGCACCTTCACGGTCTCACGGACTTTTCTCTGGGGTCGACAGGTTTGGGTCTTTTTTCCGTTACAACAAAACCCCCTCCCCCCCCCCCCCCCACCGGTTCCCTTTGAAGGAAAATCCACAAGGAGGTTTGAACGATGGCGGTACATGTTTGAATACGGGGCTGGCCAAACCCTGAGGGCTTTCCAACGTTGCGCACACCAGGATGGGACGCTGGTGTGTGCAGGCGGCCTCGATGGGCCATACAGAAGGAGCGGAGGCATGCCTTCTCCGTTTGTTTGACTGAGCTATGCCATGTTGTTGGCCACACCGGGTGATGAAAGACGAATGCGGAGAAGGGGTTTGATGGCACAGACGGGTATTGGTAGAATTTCTAGCCGCACTGGGTCCTGGGTCACAGGTCCGGCGCACAACCTCCCCAAACTTGATGTTGCTTGGTGCAGGGAGCAGAAGGGCTTGCAGATTTGGCTCCCGCAACATTGTGACTTGGGTCAGCCTGAGCGTTCCAACAGCTGTCAGTGCTTTGTTCCAAGCTTTATAAATGGCTATGAAGTCCATTTCTCCCGACTGCGCGTGAGATGCAGTACTTATGTCACATGCTGCTTAGAACTGAATGTAACACCAGGGCATAGGCTTTTCCTCTTGGGCTTTGGGCGCACCCGTTCTCCTTAGACATCTTCAAGACTTGAGTGACGCGACTTTCTGCACATTGATTTGCTTCAACATAATTTTGACATAACACAACTGGAAATTGGCCCGCCATGTCTGAAGATAAGAGCTGTGCGGATTTGTTTTATCCTCCTAAAGTTAGGCACGACATGCCGCACCCTTCAAAATGCCGCAGTTTGGCACGTAGTGCAAGCACCTGCAAAATGCCGCAACACCCGGGCAACAGTCGCGTTGGGCTCAACCCTTTGCCTTAGAGGCTCTCAGGTCACATTCACTGTTTTGCTTTATTTCAATCTTTGTTTGAGCAACCCGATTCTTGATTCACCACGCAAGCAACATGACGTTTGTACAGCGGCCGCGCTAGGTCCGAAGACATGTTCACCACAGCAGCGAAATACTTTCTTCCTCCCACAGTATTTGCGGCTGTACCCCTCGCTTCGTACTCGACACGGAAGCCCTGCCTTATACACGACTCACCTGGGAGATTACCATGGTATGCCGTCCTGTCTAACATGGAACCAGACTGAAGGGTCCTGGTTCGAACGATTTTTATTTTTCCTTTGGAGCCTCTGGTGGGTTCAATGTGGACACAAGGGCATTGCCAGAACCATAGCCAGGAGCTGTGGGGAGTGCAGGCAGCAAAAGGATGAGCTCAGCTGCAGTTGCTCTCAATCCTCCGGCCAGCAGCGTCGCTCCTCTTACCAGGCACGGGCTTCACTGGGGAAATCCGTTTGGGCCTCCTTCACTGGGGTTTGTGATTTATTTTTTCTGGGTACCTTTCGCTTTGGGGAAAGCCACCATTCTTTTTGGGGATGCCTTTGTTTTGAAAGCTTGCGTTTTGAAACGTTGGTTTCGTCATGTTGCCTCAGGGTTGCACGTGTGAATTGGGGTCTCTTTGAAAGTATTGCTTCATTTCTCTGATTCCTTGCATGTCAGCAGCTTGGGAAGTTTTCCCAAGCATTGAGACTCGATGAAGACAATTGTTTTGTGGACAGCCACTAAAATTCACATTCCAAGCTTCAAAGGATTGTCTACAAAGGTTGCTCAACCGCATCTTTGAGGCCACTGAACCGCGAGCTTTCCTTTAGCCTCGGATCAGCGTAGCCTTTCTTCCCACCGCGCTGTCATCAGGTCTCCCGGTGCAAGGCACCAGCGGAGCTGCACAACGTTGAGGGCAGGCTGACGTGCCTAGGGGCGGGGGCCTTGGATGGGAATTCCACCTGGGAGCATATGGGGGGGGTGATTTACCCATTTCCGCAGTTTGAGTATCTAAGATGAGTTGGGCTTTCGGGCGGCTTTTGCTGGGCTTGACAGTTTTTCCTTGTCTTCGCACGATCTTCGAGGACTTCCAGGAAGTGTTCGATTGCCGACGGCCTGTCCACGTGCAGGTTGTTTTGTTCATGGTTCTGCCTTGTTTTTTTTTGTGCAGGTCCCGAATGCGGAGCACCTGCCCGGCGGCGAGTACCAGCAGAGCTGCCAGGGCTGCCGGGTGTCCCAGGGCTCCCCGGCGGTGCTGGCCTGCAGCCACTGCCTCAGCGAGGATGGCCGGCAGCTGGAGAGTGCGCTGCCGCTCCAGGCGGGCGTTGTGAGGTCGGACATGGGTCCGACAACATGGCTGTGGGTCAAAACCAATGGTACCATTTTGGGGTAGGTGCCCCACCTATTTTAGTCCATTTTAGTTGGGATTGGGATACTGGGGGTACGGGATTTTGACCCATGGCCACATCTTGAGGGTCGGGGTTTAAAGGGGTTGATCAAAATGTCCTTTACATGGGATGACCGTTGATGGGAAAACCACTAAGACTGAACAGATGATATTTCCCACGAAATTGGAGAAGCTACCTGCGGCATTTGATCACCCCCCCCCCCAAAAAAAAAAAAAAAATAATAATAATAATAAAAAACAAACATTTGAGGATGTCGCTTTGAAGGATGTTGGGATCCGCCCGTCAAGACTTCTGTTGCCCATGGCTCATAGGGCTCCCCTGGAAATTCGCAGCGCCATGTTAAGCACTTCCAACGGTTGATACGTGCACTTGCAAACAGCAGATACCCCCCCCCCTCCACCGGTTAACATAGAACATCATGGAACCTAACGTTCGGGGGTCCAAACCAGGACCCCCCGAACGCCAGGTTCCATGTTTGTCGGATAGAGGGTAGGGAATAAGAAAGGCCACTTGATACGCATTGTTTAAACACGGAAACATCGCCTGCGTGGAGCAGGCTGAAGCACCTACATTAAGAGGTAGACCTCCCAGCCAAGGGACACATGAGGGGCTGTGTTGTCCCTGGTATGGATGATCAAACCCTTTCACAACTACTGTACTTTGTATGCAGAGTATGTGAGCGTCCAAAAAAAAGGTGCTCCTCCTCGCACAGCAGGATTTGCCTTTGTTTTCCTTTGAGAACCCATCAAGAAGGGTCGCCTGTTTTTGGACACACTGAAACGAGAAAGGCCACCCTGTCCAGGACTGTTTGGCCAACCGGATGAGGCTGCAGAACCTCAACGGCGCGCTGGTTTGCAGAGAGAAAACCGACCGAGAACCGCGGCAAGGGCACCGGGAGATCCACACGTGTCCACAAGGAGTCCGCAAGCAGCGCACAGCACATTGTGTTTCTTGCCAGGGCACTTGATATTGTTTTCGCACTTCAGGGGCAGGTAACAGAGATTCCGAACGATACACTTTTTTCATCCTTCACGAAACAAGAGAGCTGCTGGCGCTCTTGTTCAAATGCCCAGCGAGGAAACTTTCGAACCACAACTGCAGGTTGATCAGTACAGATTAGCTCAATCATTGCACCCAAGGACATGATGTTTGCTTCCGTGCCTTGTCGATCAGTCCGCGATTGCCAGCGGTCATTGCAAGTTGGGTGATTATGTGCTAGGTCATCCGACATGAAAGATGGGAACGGGAGCTGATAACCCTTGCCACAAAAAGTTGAAGAGTTCATGCGAACGTCTCTCGTGACTTTGATTGCTTTTGTGTTGCGTATGTGCTGAAGGTGAAGGTAAGTGAGGCTGCCTTCACTCGAGACCATGTTAGTAGCGACGGACGCGTAGAGGGGAGTGATCGAATACGTTTTGTTCAAGGCCGGGGCCGAGGGAAAGGTGCAGGATTCGTGGCAGTAGGAGCTTGCCTTCCTTCAACCATCCTCGACTGGTTGTTGGGACTCGAGATTGCATCATCTGAGTCAACACACATGGACGCTTTAGTATCGTTAGTGATCATCCAGTTGGCAGACCATCAACATGTTTGGATCAGAGGTATCACTCTTGTGTTCGGTCTCAGCATCTTGAAGCATTGCAGTTCCTGAGGCACTTGCCCCTTTTGGCAGCAAGGTTGTCTTTCTAAATCGCTTCCCATGCGGAATCTGCTTTCTGACGCCCAACTTGAGAAATCGATGCACAGTCCATTGGGGCGTTGAATTGTGGCACCTGCACTTGCCCATAAAAGTACCATGAGAATGAAAGCACCATGAACGCAGACATGCGAAGAAGGGTATCAGCAAGATCTATAACACACCGGGCAAGGTACAAAGCTAAGGAGCATCGTTATTTATTTGCTGCTGAATTTGCTCGCATTGACGTTTTCTACGTCGCATACGGTATTCAACTTCTTGACGATGCTGTGCTGTTTGCTGGGCTGTTGAGCGCTTGGGAGACCAAGAGTGCTGATGTACACGGGCAAGAACTTGGTCTCTGCCACACTGCATCCCAACGGGGCCAGCCATTTTTTGAGCAGCTTAGTGCTTCTAAACATCAGCACATATCAGCACACAACTCCCATGTCTCCAGACAAATGCTCCAGACCCATGAACACTCATGGGTGAAGGTCCCTTTGCTCAAGTTCAGGTTCCTGGGAGTTTCATTGAGCCATTCGGCTGGGGATCCCAGCCATCGGCAGGTTGCCATGGACCCTCAGCGGGCTGCCCCAGTGGACAGATGGGGCGGGCTTTTGCCGGTGGTGTGCTGGCGAAACTGAAAGACACATGGCTCGTACGCTTCGCAAAGGCTTCCATCGGCATTGCTTCCAAGCGCCTGTCTGGTATCATTCACTCACGGTAGCAGGCGGGGTCCCTTTGGGCTGAACAGTTGTGATCTTCATGGTGCTCTTCCATGCGCGATTTGCATTTTAATGAAGCAAGGTCAAGTCTATTCAAGCGAGTGGATCATGGTCGGGTATTTGCTTTTGCCCCCGGATCGAGGGCCCTGCTACAAGCCTTGGCTGCCCTCGATGACACCTCGCTGATCACAGCGTGGGCCCCAGGACTAGCTCAGGCCCCCCCGTGTGGGCGGCCTTAGTCATGTTTGGTCCTTGCCGTGATAGGGGTCGCACAGCGTTGGGAAAAAGGTCCACTGAAAGAAAGCCCCATTTGGTTGGCACGCAGCCACAAATGAATCAAAGTTGCTTGACACAGAGCTGTGGCAACTCTGTTTTCGGCTCTTCCCAAGAAGACAGTCTTCTAGATTTTTGTACTTCCATGTTGAACGTTGGAAACCAGGTTCACGCTTGCCCAATTCATTTTCTTGCTCAGCACATGTGTTCTGAGATCAAACAGTTTCAAAGGGCGAGCTATAGTCGTACCTGCTTTGCCCACTTGAGCTGTTGGTGTACGCTGTGATTTGCCATGGCAGACTGTCTAACACATTCTAACACATGGTTTATGCACCCCTGTCGCATCTACAGGAAGTGGCATACGTCTCTTCCAATTCTATTGTTGCATAGAAAGTTTCAATGTAGTTCTCAGTTGCTCAAAGCAGACCTTTTGACCAGCCATAGCTCAGCTGAGCCTTTGCGCAGCGATCCGAGGTCATCACCGAAACACTCCAAAGAAGACCCGAGCTAGCTCCTGGCGTTGTCAATGGAGCAGTGCCGGCAGGTTCCTCAGAACCATCCATGAGAGAAAATCGTTTTCTGGGCATTGACGGTGATGACTGGAAACGCGTGGGTATGTCCTTCAGGGCAACCCCCCCCCAAATGGGGCGGCTTTAAACGGAAAGCCAAAAGGACAACCGGCATTGTCGGGGTCTCAAAACAGACGCACCCGCAATAACCCGCATCTAGAATCTAGACGGCCAGCGGCTTATCATCGTGCGCGGTTGCCATGACCTTGCCTCTTTCATTTAACATGGTGAAATGAGCTCGCCCCGGACTGGCAGTGGATGGTCCGCAGCATGCCCAGGAGCGCCGCTAGGATTACTCACTCACTTCTACCTCCTCAAAATCCCTGAAAATGGAGGTAGAATGAAGGTTGAGTGAAGAATGAACGGTTAAAGAGAAAGGGAATGAGATGACAAGGAAGAAGTCATCCCATTCTATTTTCTCCTTCCCGCTCACCATCCGCTGGCTCATTCCTCACCGCTCTGATGAGTCTTGAGTGAGGTGACGAAGGCATGGAACGGATGGGGAGGTGGTTCTCTTTCCCTTGGATCCACCTTCCTCCTTTCCTACCGTCACTCGTCAGCCATAATTCCATAAAAGCATTTTACCATAATTATTTGGCCACATCCACATGCTAAAGTAATTTGTAGAGGGATGTGGATAAAGAATGACAGGTGAGAGCGACTAAAGGGAGCGGGAACGAAGGAAATCACCTGTCCATCCCTCGCCACCATCGGTTAACCCTTGATTTGTGGCTCGCCAAGGATAACAGGTTCTTGAATCCCAAGAGCTCCTACAAAAGAATTCTGATGGCGAGACAAAGATAAGGAAAGGACTGAGCTTGTCTTTTTGTTCGTGACCTCTGACTCCGGGTTGGGCTTTCTTGCCTCTGCCCGAGGATCTGACCTACGCTCCAGCAGATTCGCTGATCAAGAGACGAGCGCTGGGACCTTGGGACGCGCGCCAGAGCGGCCACCGCCAAATAGGTTGCTTCGCCAAAGCAAGGAAAGCTAAAGCCTGTTTAGTTGACTGCCACCACACGCATGCCTTTGAGGAGCAAGTTGGATAGGCCGCAATTCCATTCTCCATGCAACGTTCCGGCCCTTGTCCCTTGTTCCTGTCCCATTCCTCCCCTCGCAGCCAGGATCCTCGCAGCCAGGATAGGTTTGAAGGGGAACAATATGCAAAAACTGTGTTGCTTCTGGGAACTCTGTATCCTTATCGTTGCCAGGTCTGCAGGAGCTGGCCAAAGTTGAACCAGGGAGAGCAGGGCAAGCCTATTGGTATCTGTGGTAATCCTTCGCGCGGTCAGAAGTTCAGTTATCCAAAACCACCACCGGGGAGGTTTGGCGGGGGGATGATCACATGATCCGCACCATGACTTGTGAAGTGCCAAGGACGGGCAGGATCATGCAAGTCCCGGCCACTGGCCTGGGCTTCATCGATTGCCCCGAGCTGAAGGCCTGAGCCGAAGGGTTTGACCGCGGCCTGAGGCGAATGAGGTTTGGTGCGATCTGACCTTTTGAAAGAGGCAAGCCATGCCATGTTCATGTTTAGTCTCCCTTGCTTCTTTGTGTTTGAGGGACAGGTTTTGATTCTTCGGGACTATGCCTGCATCTACAACAGAGCTGGTAGTAAGGCTAGATGAGATAGTGGCTAGATGAGATATTTGCCATGTCATGCTTAAATGAGGTTGCTTGTTTCAATGCCTGGGTGCTGTTCCACTCACATAGCGCTAGGCAGTTTTTGGCAACGACGTGTACGTGCACAAGAACCAGGCATGAAGGGGAGCTCCAATCGGCAGAGAGATGTTACAGGAATGTTTGAGAAAGTGGCAGTTGCCATTAGTTGCCACGCTTGTTTCATTGCTTGTTTTTTTTTTTTTTCTCGCCAGAATGCTGGCACGTTGGCTGGCTTGTTTGTTTGCTTGCCTGGCTGCTTGCTTGCTGGCTTGTTTGTTTGTTTGTTTCTTTGTTTGCGTGTTTGCTTGCTTGCTCTTGTTTTCGTTTTGTTCTATTGGGCCACGTCCTCGCAGCATCGGGAAGAGTGTGCCCTCAGTCCCAAGCAAGCCCCAAGAAATGGCCCTGAGGCCGTGTTTTGTCCAACAAGGCAAGCCATCAGCGGAGAAGCAACAAATGCACACAAAAAACACACAAACAAGCACATAAACAAACACACACACACAACAAAAAAAACACCAAACAATCAAAACACCAACACACATAAAAAGAACAGCACAAACAAACAAACAAACTAACTAACAAGCAAGCCAGCAGGCAAGACAAGCAAGCAAGCAAGCAAGCAAGCAAGCAGGCAGGCAGGCAGGCAGGCAGGCAGGCAGGTAGGCAGGCCAGCAAGCCAGCAAGCCAGCAAAGAAACAAGCAAGCAAACAAGCAAACAATCCAAACAGTCAATAAATCAAGCAAGTTTAAGTCCATGTACTTGGACTTATTTGGTCAAGGCTTGAACACAGGTCCTTGTTTGCTTTGCGAGCTTCCTTGGCAGATGGTGTTGCTTTGTCAGCTTGAGACAGCCCTCGTGGTTGAGCCTGTTTGCAGTAACGGCTTGTCATCTATCTACAGTATGGCCCCATGGTTCACGGCAAGTCTGGACATGCCAAGCAGGCACATTCCTGGACATGGCAACATGTTGCCAACGAGTTGTGTGGGGAATGTGCACCGTTGGTTCTGGCTTGCCCGGAATCATCTTTTGCACCTGCCCAACTCGCATCCACAAATTCTTGTGTGCTGCTCTGTCAGAATTGGCACGACACAATACGCTGCGAAGGAAGCATTCAATGAATTCCAAGCGGACTTCTACACAGAACCATCCTAGTTGCAACTTGCAAGGATGAGGCTCGTCACTCTTGAGTGCTGAAATTTCCGTTGGCTTCGTCCCAGGTCGGCACGTTCCCACCTGGGACGGAGGTGAACTTTGCCATCCTGCTCAGCAAGGACTGAGGGAAGCACCACAAGTGACCAACATCGTTCTAGATCATTTGAATGGCAAGAAGCAGCCGAATACACGCAGCATAATCTGAATGCAGGTGCTTGAACGGATTGGCAAATTTGCACCGCGCGCGCGTGCGCGTGCGAGTGCGTGTTGGTGTTCGTGTGAGTTTGTGTGTGCGTGTGTGTCTTGTGTGTGTGTTGTGTGTTGTGTGTGTGTGTGTTGTGTGTGCGTGTGTTGTGTGCGTGTTTGTGTTGTGTGTGTGAGTGTGTGTGCGTTGTGTGTGTGTGTGTTGTGTGTGTGTGTTGTGTTGTGTGTTGTGCTGCGTTTTGTTGTGTTGTGTGGTGTGGTGTGGTGTGGTGTTGTGTGTGTGTGTGTTGTGTGTGTGTGTGTGTCACGGTATGTCTTTGTGGCTGTGTTTGTTTTTGTGTTTGTGTTTGTGTGTGTTTGTGTGTGTTGTGTGTGTGTGTGTCAGAGTATGTCTTTGTGTCAGTGTATGTCTTTGTGTCTGTGCTTGTGACTGTGTGTGTTGGTGTGCGAGTTTGTGGCGTTTGATGAGAGCTCATGTTATATTCTTAGCGTTTCCTAGCTTTTGTTGCATCCAATGTCCAGAGGCCCACATGCCAAGAAGTAGCAGCAGTCACATCAGTGGAGAGACTGAGGGATGTTTCCCTTTGCTGGCGAATCTTTGGCCTTCTCGTGGGTGAGTCATGAGGACATGAAGCCGCAAGCTTTCGACCTTCAGCCCACAGGCCGTCGGATTCGGAACATGCCACCTCTCCGTGGCGACCGGAATCATTTCCCGAAAGTTTGTGCCACTCAGAGGTCCCCAGTGACATGCATTTCCAAATAGGCCGAGGGAATCAATTCCCAGCCAACCCGCAGTGCGTGGCCGTGCGTGGGGCACCGCGCGGGATTTTGTTTTGTATGTAGGCTGTTCAAAGAGTCCTCTATCTTTCCCTTGGGGCCATCTACGAAACTGGAGATTTCCATACAGCTTTGGCTCCAAGCACCGTCGTGATCGATCTGGCGAGACTCTACCTTGGAGTCGCAGTGGCGATGATGGCAATCATGTTAGATAGTAGAACCGATGCCTCCGTTGAGGAGGTGGTTGATGATCAGGAATACTGAGCCACTTGCTGCGACGCCTGACTTTGCACGACCGCAAAGATGAGACATGTACTTGAGCAGTGGCCTGCTGCTTTGAAGGTGCAGGCAGGTAGGCCGGGTAGCTTCTCGGCCGAGTTTCATGATAGTTCTTTCAGCCAGCATGGTATTGCATGGCCCTTTTTCTCCTTGTTCTATTGCTTTCTTCGCTGGCCCGATCAACCCTGATGCTTCTGTTTTTGCAGAGTGATTGGCTTGGTCGATCGCATTGTCAGAGTGCTTTGGAGTTGCCATATGTTTTTCGCAGTGGTGATGATGGCAATCATGTTAGATAGTAGAACCGACGCCTCCGTTGAGGAGGTGGTTGATGATCAGGAATACTGAGCCACTTGCTGCGTCAGCCGGCTTTGCACGGCGGCAAAGATGAGACATGTACTTGAGCAGTGGCCTGCTGCTTTAAAGGTGCAGGCAGGTAGACCGGGTAGCTTCTCGACCTGGTTTCATGACAGTTCTTTCCGCCAGCATTGTATTGCATGGCCCTTTTTCTCCTTGTTCTATTGCTTTCTTCGCTGGCCTGATCGACTCTGATGCTTCTGACTTTGCAGAGTGATTGGCTTGGATTAGAATGTCAAGCCGAATTCTTGCCAGAGGGCTTTGGAGTTGCCATATGTTTTCGCAGTGGTGATGATGGCAATCATGTTAGATAGTAGAACCGATGCCTCCGTTGAGGAGGTGGTTGATGATCAGGAATACTGAGCCACTTGCTGCGACGCCTGACTTTGCACGACCGCAAAGATGAGACATGTACTTGAGCAGTGGCCTGCTGCTTTGAAGGTGCAGGCAGGTAGGCCGGGTAGCTTCTCGGCCGAGTTTCATGATAGTTCTTTCAGCCAGCATGGTATTGCATGGCCCTTTTTCTCCTTGTTCTATTGCTTTCTTCGCTGGCCCGATCAACCCTGATGCTTCTGTTTTTGCAGAGTGATTGGCTTGGTCGATCGCATTGTCAGAGTGCTTTGGAGTTGCCATATGTTTTTCGCAGTGGTGATGATGGCAATCATGTTAGATAGTAGAACCGACGCCTCCGTTGAGGAGGTGGTTGATGATCAGGAATACTGAGCCACTTGCTGCGTCAGCCGGCTTTGCACGGCGGCAAAGATGAGACATGTACTTGAGCAGTGGCCTGCTGCTTTGAAGGTGCAGGCAGGTAGACCGGGTAGCTTCTCGACCTGGTTTCATGACAGTTCTTTCCGCCAGCATTGTATTGCATGGCCCTTTTTCTCCTTGTTCTATTGCTTTTTTTCGCTGGCCTGATCGACTCTGATGCTTCTGACTTTGCAGAGTGATTTGCTTGGATTAGAATCTCAAGGCTTGGCAGATCGCATTGGCAGAGTGCTTTGGAGTTGCCATATGTTTTCGCAGTGGTGATGATGGCAATCATGTTAGATAGTAGAACCGACGTCTCCGTTACGGAGGTGGTTGATGATCAGGAATACTGAGCCACTTGCTGCGTCAGCCGGCTTTGCACGGCGGCAAAGATGAGACATGTACTTGAGCAGTGGCCTGCTGCTTTAAAGGTGCAGGCAGGTAGACCGGGTAGCTTCTCGACCTGGTTTCATGACAGTTCTTTCCGCCAGCATTGTATTGCATGGCCCTTTTTCTCCTTGTTCTATTGCTTTCTTCGCTGGCCTGATCGACTCTGATGCTTCTGACTTTGCAGAGTGATTGGCTTGGATTAGAATGTCAAGCCGAATTCTTGCCAGAGGGCTTTGGAGTTGCCATATGTTTTCGCAGTGGTGATGATGGCAATCATGTTAGATAGCAGAACCGACGCCTCCGTTGCGGAGGTGGTTGATGATCAGGAATACTGAGCCACTTGCTGCGTCAGCCGGCTTTGCACGGCGGCAAAGATGAGACATGTACTTGAGCAGTGGCCTGCTGCTTTGAAGGTGCAGGCAGGTAGACCGGGTAGCTTGTCGACCTGGTTTCATGACAGTTCTTTCCGCCAGCATTGTATTGCATGGCCCTTTTTCTCCTTGTTCTATTGCTTTTTTCGCTGGCCTGATCGACTCTGATGCTTCTGACTTTGCAGAGTGATTTGCTTGGATTAGAATCTCAAGGCTTGGCAGATCGCATTGGCAGAGTGCTTTGGAGTTGCCATATGTTTTCGCAGTGGTGATGATGGCAATCATGTTAGATAGTAGAACCGACGTCTCCGTTACGGAGGTGGTTGATGATCAGAAATACTGAGCCACTTGCTGCGTCAGCCGGCTTTGCACGGCGGCAAAGATGAGACATGTACTTGAGCAGTGGCCTGCTGCTTTAAAGGTGCAGGCAGGTAGACCGGGTAGCTTCTCGACCTGGTTTCATGACAGTTCTTTCCGCCAGCATTGTATTGCATGGCCCTTTTTCTCCTTGTTCTATTGCTTTCTTCGCTGGCCTGATCGACTCTGATGCTTCTGACTTTGCAGAGTGATTGGCTTGGATTAGAATGTCAAGCCGAATTCTTGCCAGAGGGCTTTGGAGTTGCCATATGTTTTCGCAGTGGTGATGATGGCAATCATGTTAGATAGTAGAACCGACGCCTCCGTTGCGGAGGTGGTTGATGATCAGGAATACTGAGCCACTTGCTGCGTCAGCCGGCTTTGCATGCCGAGAGATGAGACATGCACTTGAGCAGTGGCCTGCTGCTTTGAAGGTGCATTGTATTGCATGGCCCTTTTTCTCCTTGTTCTATTGCTTTCTTCGCTGGCCTGATCGACTCTGATGCTTCTGACTTTGCAGAGTGATTGGCTTGGATTAGAATCTCAAGGCTTGGCAGATCGCATTGGCAGAGTGCTTTGGAGTTGCCATATGTTTTCGCAGTGGTGATGATGGCAATCATGTTAGATAGTAGAACCGATGTCTCCGTTGCGGAGGTGGTTGATGATCAGGAATACTGAGCCACTTGCTGCGTCAGCCGGCTTTGCACGGCGGCAAAGATGAGACATGTACTTGAGCAGTGGCCTGCTGCTTTAAAGGTGCAGGCAGGTAGACCGGGTAGCTTCTCGACCTGGTTTCATGACAGTTCTTTCCGCCAGCATTGTATTGCATGGCCCTTTTTCTCCTTGTTCTATTGCTTTCTTCGCTGGCCTGATCAACCCTGATGCTTCTGTTTTTGCAGAGAGGTTGGCTTGGATTGAAATCTAAGGCTTGGTCGATCGCATTGGCAGAGTGCTTTGGAGTTGCCACATGCATTTCGCAGTGGCGATTGTGGCAATCATGTTAGAGAGTAGAGCCGATGCCTCCGTTGAATACTGAGGCGCTGCCATGTGCAATGGGGTGACATGTCAATCATGACGCACGAGAGGCATGGTATTTGGTGGCCAGGGCAGCCTGAGTTTGGCCGGTGTGCGTGGCATTTTGGCTTGTTCGCAAGCGTTTGGTCGCGATCAAGCAGTGCCGGAACGAAGGACATCGTGCGAACAGTGATGGCTCAGCTGTCACAAGGGTTTCCATGCACCACTGCCACATCAGCAGTTGTGACTTCCTTTGAATGGCTTGTTTGCGTGTCAACGCCTGTAATTAGTGGGTTGACGCCGCAGTCGTTTGACTGAGTTTGGAGCGGCCGGGTTTGACTGGAGGTAGGCCCTGGCGAGTTGAGCTCTTGGAAGAAACGAACAGCACGTGTTGATTGAGAATGATCCATCTTTCTGACATCCCCACTGCCGATCCCATCTTTCGGCTCACTTGGGGTAATGGTGGAAGTGGCGTAGGTGGCGTAGGTGGCAAGATTTAAAGGTGCCTTTTGCATAAGAGATGACCTCAAAAGCCTGTGCGCGTCCAGCTTGCGGGAAGCGCTCTTGACACTGTTTCTTATCTTCACGTGCAGGTCCGCCGTTTATGCGTCCGCGGCCCAGCCCGTTGGACTTATATTCTTGGTGACTTGAGCCATGGCTTCCTAAACACAGACACAGAGCCAGACTCTCATTGAAATCGCTTGGCCACGGCAGTTTACACGGATTGCGGCGTGTTTTTTAGTCGGACTTTGTTCGGAGATTGTAATTATGGCGATTCTTCTGGGGTAATATCGGATGAATACTCGCGCTGTCGTAGAGAAGATGGACCCCAGCTTGAGACCTGCATCGGATGCCATTGGCTCAACGCAAAGCTTGCCCTGAACCAGAGCATGAACTGGGCTCGAAGGTCTATCCTGTGTTGGTCACCCTTGAGAACGAACCCCCCGAGACCTTAGCATTGATGAAAGCTTCGGGGCATGAGAAGTCAACGCAATGTGGTGCTGACTTATCGGCACTTGACGCGTGGAACTCGTGCTTGTGACCCCATTCTGCATCCGAGCATGGAATCCTCGGGGGAATTGGCGCTGGTGGCGGACGGCTACTGGTGTGCCACTTTGGGCCAGGCGCCAAGCGCTTCCGCGCTCTCCCGAGTTTTTGTTTCCTCCCGTGACACTAAACCCAGAGGTGCATTCCCTTCCATTGGTTAAGAATATGTTTTCCCCTGTTGGTTTTAAAGGGAATCTATCACTACTGGATTTTTTTTATTTTATTAAAGCAATAAAATAAAAATCCAGGAGACTTAAGCAAATGGAGGTTCCTGCGCCGAGGCCCGCTGCTGCTGCTTCGCCCCCCTGCGCTGGCGGCGAAGCTGGCACCGCTGCCTCCCGCATCGCTGCGGCCGCTGGGCCTAGTCACGGCTCTTTGGGGCGCGCTGCTGCTGAACGAGCCGCTGAAGGAGAGCCGATGTCGCCAAGATCGTGGTTCGGTGTCTTTGTGCGGATCTGCTGAGGTGTTTTGCTAAGTTTCAGGGGTACTGTTTCCTGGATTTCACTGCTTTTTTACAGCCGTGGGCCATGTGCATTGGACAGGCTGCTTGGCTCTTGGGCCATGTGTCATGGGCTAGACTCAAAGTTGCAAGAACACAACAAGTTGACAATGCCCTATTATGCCTTCAGTTTGCGAGGCCATTTAACCAGCTTGCTAATGGCACCACACGTAATACATATTTTTGATTCTGCACCACTCCTCGTTTCTGCAAGGTTTGCTGTTCAAGGGACACAGCTGCTGAATTTGCAGGGGGTTCGCCCATTTTTTTTCACCATTGCTTGACGACATGTGGCATATTGCAGACTGAGTTGCTAGGGACAAGCCACCCGCAGTTGTCGTTTGTTGTTACCCTCTGGAAGCATGAATAGCTTTGCAAGCCGGCAGTGAGGGTTTAACCACATGGTCAGGGTAGTAGAAGCGAAGTGTTCACGAAAGACCTGTGCTGATGTTGTGTGCCACTGCCGCTTTGAGAGTGGCTGCTGGTGCCTGTGCTGGCCACCACCCCTCTTTCGCACAGTGCTTGCCAGTCACAGACCATGTTGTTTGGAGGCCGTGCGTGCATTGATCATCCTCAACCCAACGCAGTCCATTGCTGGAAGGAATTCCAGAGGATAGTGCCACAATAGGATATGACAATGCTGGATTACAACCGTTGAAGCACTGGTCAAGCTGACAAAGAGAGAACCAATTATGCAGCATCATGCAACTCAACATTCACAATGATAGTACATACTCATATTATCAATCAAACATGATAATGATAAAGGCAAACTGTACGCGCAATAGGCGTCAGCACTTTGCCACATTTGCCCCATGCAGATAGATGATAAGGCGACACTTGCTCAGCTGCCTGGTTGCTGTGATTTCCTGACTGCTCAACTGCCTTTGCTTTCTCAGAGTGGTCTTCAGTTCTTTTCGTCTAGCTATGATGGGCATTTGGGTTGGCTGTTTGGCTGTTTGGCTGGTTGGCTGCTTGGCTGCTTGCCTTGATTTTGAAAACAGGCGCGGGTGGGCCATGAGCGGGCACTGAACTTTGTGTGCGGCATCAACTGCACCGCCAGCTTGGGCTTGGCAGCGGCCTGTCACAAGAATTGCGACCCTCTCCAGCGCAAGCTCTCCTCGCGGTTTAGGTACCTGATCAAGTGCAAAATAGGTGGACAGCACTGGGCTCTTGCAGATTCAGGCATGAGTTCCGAGGCACCATTGTTTCTTGCGGTTGGCTTGCCTGTTGTTAGCTCAAGGAGTTACTCGTAACGGCCTATGTTGGAAGCACTTTGCGGCTGAGCCGACACACACTACGCAAATTACCTTCACTTAGAAGGACAAGTACCTGTTGCATCTAATCGAAGTATTAGCGTTGCACTTGTTTGGCAACCCCTAAACCTTGTGTCCTCGTCCATGCCCTTGAATGCTGTTTTAAGAGGCAAGGCAGTCTGTTGAGTGTTCGTAGGACAATAAAGAGACAAAACTTAGCCTTAGGAAACCAGGGGCTGCAAAGGAAAAGGCGAGAGCGACCACACGCAACCAGGGGGCAGGAACTCGCGCGGCCCAGCGGCTTCTTTTGTCACATGGTGTCACATGATACCGGTGTATTTCTCCAAGCGTTGCTTTCGCCCACGACAAGATGCATAAAAACCAGCTGTGAGAATTGGCAAGGGCAAGCTACGGGAACTCTTTTGCAATGCTCTCCTTGCGTTGCGACTGGGCTTCCCGTCGAGGCGGTGACCGCACTGGCGCCACAGCGCTCGGTGCTCGGCGCGATCACACTGCAAGTGGCAACTCGGACGCGTGTCGTTTAAATGTATGTTGGCACGAAGCCGGGGTTCCAAACCTTTGCAGCATGTGACAATAGCCAGGTCCTCACAAAGCCCCAAACCGCAGGCTGGTGGGTTGATAGACGTGCAGACACATGTAGACTATGAAAGTCAGCAACCAATTGCCAATAGACTATGGAAGTCAGCCACGCATTATTTCTTGGGACTGCAGCAGTGCCGTTAGCATTGGTACCTGCCGATTTATGGCTAAGCTTCAAGAGTGCTCGAGATGTGCGTTTTGCCGGGGGGGGGGGGGGGATTTGGGGTTAAACTTGCATGAGCCCCTTTTAGCAAAGTAGGATAGCCAGAATAGCATTCACCGAATGTGGATTGTGCAGCTTTTCATGAACTGTTGTGCATCCTGCAGTGGTTTTACCATCATGACAGCCTGCGCCGCCATAAAAGGAGCGCGCCGCTGTGTCGCTGGCAGAACTGAACGTTAGGGAATATTGTCAGGATCCATTCAGCCCTATTTACCCTGCACAGTGGTAGCGGAGCCCCCGTGTTTGCTTGCGAACCCCCGCGCTAGCAGAGGGCGGGGGATTCTTGCATTAGCAAAAGCAACTGATAATTTTCGCCGACAGCCAAGTTTGACAAATGTACAGAGTTGAGGAAGAGATCCCAGAACCCGCATTGGTGGCGAGCCACAAAGCGGCTCACCAGCACTCAATCAATCAGCAATTACGCCCAAGGTTCCCCCACGGTGGCCCCACTTTGTGGTTCGCGCACGAGGGGTCGATTGAGGGCTGGGTGGCCATAACTACGCTTGCGCCACGTAAGCGTGGACCTTCCCTCAAGAATCAGTTAAATGGCGCTGCAGAGAGACGTACGAGGCCATGTTGAGCAACGAGGAGCCCCGAGACCCTGACAACTTCAAAGACACTTTGCGGCAGCACAATGTTTTTTTGGTATTTCCGTCGTTGCCGCGGAAGCCGACAGATGATAGCACAGCTTGGGCGCCTCAAGGTCGTGGCCGAGCGAGTTATGAGTGCCTGGATGGACCTCTTCACGAGAAGTAGTATGCCAATGACCAGGAATGCTTCAATGCGCTCACACCCGCGGCCAGACGTGAAACAAATCAAGCAGCAGCCGCGCTAGAGGTAGAATGCGCGGACATCCAGAAAGAGAATCGCCGGAACGTTTTCCCACTTGCCGGCAACGTAGTTTGTAGCCTTGATGTTCAGTGCGCAGGCAGGCCTAACAGAGTCCCAGAGAGAACCGGCTTGATTCGTCCCTCTCAGTACTAGAGGTGTTGGCGTGCAAACCTACACGTGCCAGCAAGTGAAGCAGACGTTCTTGATTTTTTCCGCGCCTGGCGCGCTGGCAAAGACTGGCCCTGATGAAGCGCTCAGAAGACTTCATCAGCGCCACTAGCGGCTGGTGGTTTTTTCCAGTGTTGACATCTGTTTTTGCGCGTCGACCGCACTAGGTAAGATCGAACGATCGGCATCCGTCTTCTGCAGAATTCGTTTCACAAGATTTGGGCAGACCAAGCTGCCGGTTCCAATTTGTTTTGCTGGAGACGAATTACACACTTGCGTCAGTCCCCCTCAGCAATTTCGGATAACCATAATGTATTATAGCGGTCGCTGCATGGCGCGAGGAATTGCGCAGCGTGGCAGTGGCTTCACCGTTTTACTCAGCTCCCAGGAGACTCCGAGTCGCGAGTTACTTAGGCCGTATGAGCTAAGAAGGTCTTTGGTGTCGTGAGGACAAGATAACTCAGAGCGTGAACTTTCACGAGTAACGGCCTTTCAGTTTCCCGCGCGAGTTATCACGGCCGTTCGGCCGAGTTTTCACGGCTTTACGGGGGCCAACGAGCGCAAGTGGCCGAGGACATCTTAGCTCAAAAAGCCAAAGTAACTTGGGGCTCGGAGCCTCCTGGTTGCGCGTGCCGCGAGACTTTGGCAGGTCGTGAGTCGTAACTCAATCACAATCATAGCCTGCTAGACCATGTACTGATGCCTGTTTATCACCGGCTGCACGCATTTTCTCTGGAGTCAAACCAAGCAGCGATGGACCGCGATTTGCGTTGATACGTGGCATGAGGCTCAGGGCTGCAAACTACGTCGCGTCCACCACGGGCCCGAAAACATCGCTCCTCAACCAGCCCAGCTATTCCCCAAAAAATCGGGAAGTCGAAAAAACTGGCCCCCTTCCAACAAGGGAATCAGCACTAAGAAGCAATACCGTTTTTTTCAGAAAGGGCAGCTACGCGGGCCCCTGTTTTTGCTGTTTTTGAGATGGAGCTATTTTGTGGTGTGAATCTGTGTTGATTGGTTGCAATAAAGAAAGTTAATTAGAAGATAAGGATACTGAAAAGCGGGTGAAAAGGATCCTTTTGGTCGTACATCAGCTATCATTATCCCGTCTCACCTTTATAATTCCTGTCTCTTTCTGATGTTAAGGATTCTACAGTTTAAAATGATAGACGAGTGAATGAAGAAAGAGGTGAAAAGAAATCCATTAAAATCTAGACTTATATTATTTCTATATTATTTTTACTATAATATTTCATTCAGTAGTTAAATTGTAATCATAAAGGCTTAGGAATATATTATCTATTATCTGGATTCATCTTGGAATCTCCGGGCACATTAATATCAGTCCTTATAAGAATAGAAATATATTCATCAGGAAATAGGATTATATCTCCAGAAAACCAGAACTTCTATAATATAAGCATTACATTGCATTGCTTCCTTATGATCTTCTTTTTAGGAATGCCTGGCTTGTTTGGATGATTGGGAACTCATTTGTACCTATCTTTCACGGACCTCCAGAAGTGGTATATCCTAGAGTCATTTTTTTCTATCATCATGCTTTTACTTTCAAATCTTTTCCTAATCCTTTCTTTAATCTTAGAATTTGGAGGTGGTGCAGGATGGACATTATATCCACCATTATCCACTTCTTTAATGACTTTATCACCTTCAAGCACAGGAAATCTTATATTAGGATTATTAATCTGTGGTATATCTTCATGTCTTACATCTCTTAACTTGTGGACAACAATTCTAAATCTGAGATCTTATTATCTTATATTAAAGACTATCCCATTATTTCCTTTCTCTTTCTTGATTACAGCTTTCATGCTTTTATTAACATTACCTATCTTACCTGGTACACTCCCTTTTTTGTTGGGGCATCTTCATTCTAATGCACTTGTCTTTGATCCAACATTTGCAGGAGATCCTATATTCTATCAACATGGATTTTGGTTTTGTGGACATACAGAAGTTTACATCTTAATAATTCCTGCATTTGGGATCATTTCCACAAGTAATTTCTAGGATTTTACAGTTAATAATCTTTGCTAAGCAATCAATGATCTTTGCCATGTCATCTATGTCTCTTCTTGGAAGTCTGGTATGGGGACATCGTATGTATACTGTAGGTTTAGAAAGTGATATAAGAGTTTATTTTTTCCCGCGTCTGCGCCAATGGCATCTAAGCTGGTTAAACGACTTCCCGCAAGTGAAGCATATACGTCCGCATGTACAGGTTCCGCAAGAAGATCACATGAGAGCAAAGAGGGTAGATCTTGGTTTTGTTGGTTCCATTGCAATGGGAGTTCATTCGTATCGGATGGAAGTAGCAAATGGATTCTCTCACCTTGAACGTGTGGCCAGGAAGCATGCTTGTTTCTTGATGTACATGATATTGCACAGGATTGTTGATCTTGTCGTGTTTCTCATCTCTGGGTTACCGCATGCCGGCCACGTTCAGACAATCTCAGCCATGCATGGCTAACAACTGTGATTACTGCTTCAATTCTTGTTGCTCAATGTACCCATGACATTTAACTCATGTTAGTCTTGTTGCATTGAAGAGTTCTCGGAGCCAGCCTGTGTAATTCAGCGCTTCAATGTTCAGAGCGATGGCGATGCTGCTTTCTCAAGAGTTAAAAACACCACAAAAACACTTAAAAACACATCAACAACTGGGGCCTTTAGGGCCGCCCGCGCTCTTTTTTTGGCATGCGTTTTCTTTGCTTGCTGAGGCGGGGTTTGCTGCCTGGCAGTTCACGAAGAGGAGCTGAGAGCAGGCTTCGCGGATTTCCATACTCTGAAAACCAACTTACTCCCACGCAAATCAGTCGGTCTGATTGCCTTCGCAGACAAAACGCTGGCAAACGGTAAAGCCTGAAAGCGCTTCAAGAGGCTGCGTGTGCTTGCCTTAAAGCGGCCAAAGTGCAGCCGCGTTGAGCGAGTAAGGCTGAGTGCAAAAGCAGTGCTGCGATTGATTGCGTTCGCTGCCAAGGTGCTTGCAGCGCTATTCAAAGCCCAAATGGAGCTGCAGAGTTCTGACATTTTCCCAAACCCAGCGTGCTCCTCACTTTGGGGTGCGTGTGGCAGATAGTTTGTTCCTATGGGTTGAACCCTTGTGCTAGGCAAACGGTCCAGTTGAGGCAACGCTAGGGTCCATGCCCAAACATCAGCTGAAAGTCCGCTCATTCTTCGGCCGGCTGCTTTAGGAAGAGTAGGCAGACAGAGCTTGAAGGAAGCACGACCATTCAATGGCCCCCAAAAAATTGGCTTCACCACCCCCCCCTTCGGCATGGATCCTTGTTTGCTACGCTTACTGAATTGTGTATGTGCGGATTTGTGGATGAAGCCTAAATAAACCAGAGGTGCCCCTGTTTTCGGTTGGTTTCAAATGTAACCACATCGAACACCGCCATTTTGTTTCACCAAGTCAGGGCGGTCCTCCCTTCGTCGGAGACCTGAGGCGGCAAGGGAGCTCCCAGCGCCGCGGAGCCCAGCTCGAAGCCCGCGTTGGCGCGGGTAGATAGGGAGTTGGGCCCACGGGCACCCTCTGAAAAGCAACACACCCGCATAGACAGCACATCTTCTATGCGCTACATCTTGGGCGACGATCAAAAACCCATGTGCAAAACTTAAGTCAGGGGCATAGCGAGTGGGCGCCGGACAGTTTGGCGAAACATGCTCATTTAGCATTCTGAAAGGTTGACAATTTATTTTTAACATTGTAGAAATTTGGCCAGAGGGAAAGGACATTTAGGCGTGTCTCGGAATTGGTCGGACGCACACCAGGGCACCCCCAAAAGTTGTGTTTGGCATGGGAAAATAGTATTTGGGTGTGTTTTCTGGTTGGTCGGGGCAGGCTTTGTCATTGTAAGCAGGACAAGTTTCGTGGCAGTTTTCCAGACTGAAATGATTGTCAACATTTTTTGAACTTTGGCAGATTTCGCCTCGAAAGAGAAACGGAAGCTTCGCGAAAGAGATGCGAAAGGTTCCCTGGCCAAGGTTGGGGAAGGGCCATGTTGTTTGTCCGTGGACAACTTTGGGTTGGTCCTGACGGGAACGCCTTGGCCGGAAGTTATTTTTACAGCTGACGCCTCAGCCCAAATCACATGTCTTGTCGCATTTTGTCGCCCTAAATTACGAATTTGCAAGTGATGAAGCGCGGTGGCCAGCTGTGTGTTCCCTTGTTTTAAATGCTTTGCAGGTCTAAGTCCGGCAAAGCGCTACCAAAGCTACTTGCGTGCGTTGAGTGCGGTGTCCGTTGAGCGAAATCGGACCGGGTGGGGGCTGAGGGTGCTGGTCAGGGTGCTGGTCAGGGCGCCGCATCAGAAGTGCTGCTCGTTTGTCTCACATGTCGGGGAGCAAAACAATATATGCGCCGCGGCGCAATGTCTTGTGTTGCGCATGGCAGGATGCGCAGCAAAGGTGTAACGCGAGCATGTACTGGCGTACTTGAGAACATGAGCGGGGCTGTTGATGTATGCATATATACATATTAAGATGTATTCATTTGTCAGAGACGGGGCGGCGCTGTACCGGTGTTGCTGCCCAGGCACATGAAAATGTACGCAAGTATCAGTCTTGCCGGCTCTGTAGCAGTTTCACACGTGAAAACGTGCGGTAGCATAAGAAGCGCTCACTGCTCTTCGAGGAAAGTGAGATGCTGTAGCAGACGCACGCCCGCGCCCGCGTGTAAAAGTACACGCCGGTATCGTGCTGCCTGTGCGTCGCAAATGGGCGTTGGTCAAAGCTCCTTTAACTTTGTTTTGGCCTTCCGCGCCCTTTCGCGCAACTCGTGTTTTCTTTCACCTCTTTAGAAGTAAGAGCCCATGGCTAAACCAATCTGTGGAACAAACCCATGTAGTTCCATAAGATAAGTAGTTCTCTTCAGCATGAGCCATTCCTCGGCAGCAGCGTGAAATTCATACCACAGCTTCTAGCAGGCTGCGGACCATGCGGGGCTGCGCTGAGGTGTTTGGCATGAAGGGCGGCTGGTGATTTGGCGATCAGCGCGGTCGGAGCAAAAGCCTGTCCGCCCAGAACATGCTTTGCCAAACCCGGCAAGCCGCAGACAGACCAAACCATGAGAACATGTTTTCTACTACATGAGGCGGCAAAATTTTAATACGGGTGCACGTCCAAGATGGTCAGCGCGAGGCTGTTGTTGTTATGCGTGGTTTGCTTCGAATGCCCTTCAGGAATGTGCCATGACAACAAGACTTTCCAATGGGATAGTCATCAACGCTTGCAATGCACAGCATCCCTGCTATCCGTTCGAAAATTGTTTTACAATGCACTCCTGTTAGCGAGTCGCCGTGATTGTTGGACCAATCAAGCCGGCATCGCCAGCTGTGGCTCGAATATGAATCGGATGGCATCCATATTTCCTAGTAAAGTGTCCCAGCTGCTTCCACCGATGCTGTGTCGCGAACCATTGTTTTTGTTTGTTTATTTTATTAAGAAACAATGTGTGTTGTCCATGTTTCGTGCTTTGGCTTGAAGACCCACTCGGACGGACAATGAGCAGCAACTAGCAAGATCCTCAACAAGGTTGACGCCACACTTGTCTTCACGTGCATGAGCGTTAGTCCCTGCCCGCTGACCCTCCGCATGTGCTTGCTTGGGAAACATGGGAGGGGCTGTTGGAAGCAGACGAAGTCCAAATTTAGCAGGGGCCAGTCAGTATCAGCCCCTGTTTGCGCTTCTGCAGCGCTCCCTGGCGAGCTTTCAACTGGCCATGGCCAAAGAGGTTGGGAAGCTCAAGGGGTAGGGCAGGCCCAAGCGATCCATTGGATTGATTTGCGCAATTGCAAAATGATAGATTCATGAATTGTGTTCTCAGCCTTTTTTTGTGACTCTCATTGTATTTGCGTGTGTTTTTGTTCCTGTGTGTGCGTGTGTGTGTGTGTGTGTGTGTGTGTGTGTGTGTGTGTGTGTGTGTGTGTGTGTGTGTGTGTGTGTGTGTGTGTGTGTGTGTGTGTGTGCGGGTTTGTACTGTCTGATTGGTTGTTTGCTGCTGTTTGGCCGGCTTGATTGCAGGGGGATTATTTAGAGTCTGAGGGCGTGGCAAAGTCAGTCATTCAATTCGCATGATTCACCCCCAATCGCAACGTGGCTGTCGTCCGAGAGGTCCTTGTATCGAGGTATGAAGGGGACGGCCATTTGATCTTATGTGTGGCCCAAAAGCTCCGCGATGGACCTCGGAAAGCTAATTGTTGTTAGCGAAAGGTTTGTGAACATGGCCCCGCGAAAGCCGTGCCATGGAGGTGCTGAAGAATTTGTTTTGTTTGGTTCCTCAAAGATGGGGCATATCCCGCAACAATATGGCCCGCCTAACCGCAATACAAGAGTTTAGCAACCCACGCCCCATTTCATTCGCTCCAAAGAATCGCAAAGCTTGCGCCAGGCAAGCGCTCGGTCGGTCAGGCGGCTCGTGCCAAGGCAAGGCATGTGCCGCTTTGGCCCGACATGGTGGAGCCAATTTACCTGATTAGGGAAGGGGCCTTTTCTGCACTTCACAATAAGGGGATGCAAAAAAGGGCGTCGACGCTAGTGCCGGACCCTCATGCGCCGTGCCCAAATTCCGAGCGGCCAGACAAACCGTGATTCTAGTGCGAGAAAGAGGGCCATCAATGCCGAGCCTCTCCACACTCCTGCTGAAGGAAGGAGGAAACTCCCCATTGTTGAGGGTGTCTTGATCGCACGTCAAGTGACAGGAGGAAGCGATGAATGAATTGTGGACAACTTTGAACGGCAAACTTGTCTACGGCGTTTTTGTCCTAGCTTGGCTTGAGGTCTGATCTCCCAACGATGCCCAGCAGTCGCAAGAGTCGCTTCGCTACTGGTCGAATGTAGCTGTAGGCTGGCTTTGCTGCTCTTCGCCTTTTCCTGCAGCAGGCATGGTGTGTCATCACTCCGGCCGTTGGCAGCTTTAAAGATTTAAAGCCCCCCAACTAATTACACGCCTGACTAAGCTTGAAGCAAGGCGGAGAGCTTGTGTCTGCTTGTGCAGGTTGCCCGCCCGAAAGAACTACAACGGCTGTGATGAGAAGTTGAAACATAATGCTGCAAATGCATCAGTAGGTTGCGAGCTGCTGTCCGAAAGGCGTTTCTTTTTGGCCTTGAAGCTTGCATGTTTTGTTTGTTAGGACACGGACCGAGCACAACAGCAGCGGACAGGTTTGTTGAAGGGACGACACGTTTGAACATCATTTTGCCAGAATGTTTGTTGGCAGGGCTTCCGCGAGGCTCTAAGGTTCTACAGGTGTCTCTTGATTTGTGGATTCCCCTTGCACCGCCCGGATGCACGGATTTTCCACGAGGAAGACATACACAAAACCGCGGAAACAGCCCATCGACAATCAGAAACAACATCCCGACAAGAATAAAATCGTTCCCACTTATCCGGAATGGTCAGCATGTCGCTGATGCACATCCTTCCCAAGGGGCTCATGAAAACGGGCTAGGAATTCAGCACGAAATCTCACCACTTGCGCTTGATGCGAATGCTTATTAATTGTTCGTGTCCCACTAGTACCCAGGGAAACCATGATCATTCCCCAGAACCGGCCCATCTTCGGCCACTGCTTCATTCGAAGGAACGAGCTCGATGATCCAGGTCATATTGGCAATGCTCTGGAATGCTCTGGAATGCTCTGGAATGCTCTGGAATGCTCCTGGAGTGTTTTGGTGGGAGCAATGTGATCATCCTTCAAGTCTTTGTCGTTCCTGACGGGTAGGGACATTCCTTGTGCTGAACACCGCCCGCCCCGGCGAGGTGCTTCTTGGCGTCGCGGAGGGCGCTAGTGGGCCTCGCCTTAGCGCCCCATGCGGCGCTGGCCTTCGAGAATCGCGTGCGGGAGGCCGGAGTCCTGCAGTCGAGTGCAGAACGAGCGCGTGTTGTTCCCGGTTTGGTTTTGGGAAAAGGCTGTGGGTCAAAACCAATGGTACCATGTTGGGGTAGGTGCACCACCCATTTTAGTCTATTTTAGTGGGGATTGGGATGTTCACTGACGAGCTTTTGACCCATGGCCATATGTGTCAATCACGGGGGCCTGGTGGTGTTTGCAGTTGCATCCCTGCCTGGTGATGGTGGCTGTCAACGGCCATGGGACGGCCAACAACATTCTGAAGATTTTATTGAGGCACCTTCAGCTTCAAACAACTAGAATCAATGGGTGAGGTGGTCATTGCATTACTTTTGCCTATTTCGTACCACGTTTACCTCAAAACCACTAAAACTTGTCGGGCAGGGCTTTCTCTCTTGTTCGGTTTGATGTTGCCCACCAAGCCGGATTTCGGATCTTCTGCAACCTTTGAACTCGCCAACCCTTCAAACCCTTCCCCTCCATCAAACTCCTTCAATCCCGCTGTGTGTGGGAGATGTGCGCAAATCGGCGCAACTTCAATCTAAACATGTCAGGTAAAAACATGCTCTTGCCCGTACCACTTTTGGCCACAAAACCAGCGCAAAAAACCGCAAACACCCGCAACAACCCGCAAACGAGCGCAATTCCCCAAGAGGTCAGTTGTCACTGTCCCCGCACAAAAACAAGAGAGGGCCATGATTTGGGGTCATGCTTGCAAAGGGATATGCCAAGCACTGCAAAGGGAAAACATTGGTGTCAGATTTTGTTGGCTCACATGTCCTCCCAAACAGCTTGGGCCTGCAGCACCGACGCCGGCCTTTGTTTTTTCAGCGGTTCGCACGAGAAAGCCCAGTTCTGTTTGCACTAGAAACCCACCGAACACGTGGATTCGGTGTGATTTGCGCCTCGGGAGTCCAGCCAGAGAAGCGCGAAGCGCGTGTGTTCGCATGCGTAGCCCGTAGGGAGGACAGCGTTGAATGATGTGAAAGGTATGAGGCCAGCAAAACACCAGTTCTGAATCTCCAGTTGCTGATCTAGTAAGCGTCGAAGGTTGCGAAGGGAAGTTGCGAAGGGAAGTTGCCGTTGGAACCCGCGAGATCCGAAAGTCACGCGACCTGAAGCAAGAAACAGAGAATGGCCCAATACATCTTCAGAAATTCAGCCAGGCATGACCCGTATTTCAGTGCCATGCTTAGTAGAGCAAGTTTTCGACATTCTAGATTCTACAAGTCCGTTTGCTGAACAGGAAATGGTCGCCGAGGGGATTCATGCCCCCATGCCCTTGCCGCAGTTTGTCCGCGCAGAATCGCACGCCCGCATTTAGTAAAAAATACCAGTCGCATTCCCAGTGTTTGAGTTGTTCACTTCTTGCCACCTCCATTGCTAACGGGAAAACCATTCTCCGGATCCCCCTAGGGAAAGCGGCAAGCACGTTCCCAAAGCGGCAGACCTTGCGTCAGGTGAAGGGCCCGAAGAGCCCCGGGTCGCAGCCGGCTGGGGTGGGTCAGGGCACGCTGGCGGGGTGCAAAGCGGCGCCCAACTGCTTCTCCTCAGCGGCGGAGGACGAGCACCTCGGCAAACTGAAGATGTCCAGTGCTGCTCAAAGGGCCATCCACACCCCATTTGGAAAAGGGTGGGCGGGGCCCTCAGCACAACAGATGTGCATCACCCTGTCATTTGTGTTGGAATAGTTTTTCAAGTGGTGTTTAACTATCGAAGCTGGGACAGAAATCATACTTATCAGACAGTTGAGAGCGGCGACCTTCAACGCAGAGGAAATAGGACTGCTGCACGCCGTGCTGAATGCGTGTAAGGCTGCACAAATAAGCATGACATCACTCAATCGCTTGTTAAAGTTTGATCAGCCAGGTTTAATTGGCACGGCCATCAACCCTTTAAGGATTTTGGGCGACTGTCATTGCGCTGGTTCTTCTATGACGGCATGCCCCCCCCCCCCCTTGGCGTTTTGTTCCTGGCAGGTCGGGCCGTTATCCTTTCCTCCCGATACCCTGTGAGGGGTTGGAGATTTGCATGGGGTATGTGTCAAAATAGGGGGGCCCGGAAAAAAAATAAAGAACAACTTTCTTTGGTTCCCTTGTTTCAAGGTGATCAGGGCACCCTCCATGACCCACCCAGTTCCGAGGCACTACTTGAAACCCTGGAGCTTCCCTGGGCCCCCAGAGAAGGCCCTGGCAGACCTGGAGCAAGTGCTGAAGGCCTACCCCCCAGGCCAGCAGGACATCGATGGGGGCGGCTTTCAGATCCAGAAGTTGGAGCCCAAGGCTCACGGGTGGCAAACTGTTTACAATGTGTGGGTGTGTTTGTTTTCTCTGATAGTTCTTGCGAATCTTGCTGACAAAGCGGGAACTTTGGGGTTTGGCGTAGCAGATGTGTCCGCTGTTCAGGCTTGAAGGCCTCTACGTCTACGTTTCCAAGGCTTGCTTGTGGAACCTGTCCCATTTCTGTAGGGCTAGGATTGGACGAGGCTTGATTTTCATGCTGCTGTGTCTCTGGGCTTGCAGAGCGCAAGGCCGGCGCTCCCTCATGGTGTCAGGCGCCGCTAAGTCCCCTGCCACGCCGGAGATCACACGCGTGACACAAACAATTTCCCTTGCGCAGAGAAAAAACGAAAACAGTTACCAGTGCGAGTACTATGTATGTCTAGGACAGTTGGTTTACGTGAAGTCTTGTCAGCACATCAGTAGATTCTGAAGGGAGCCATCTTATCATCAACGATCACTTGAGGGGGGTTGGCCTGTCTCCTTTCCATACTATATCTCTTGAGAGGTTAGTCACTTTTGGATTCTGCGATTCGGCCATGAGGAGGATTTTCCCACCCCTAGGTCCAAAAGTGTCCATCCAAAGATAACGCAAAGGCAGGCTTGACTTCCACTGGCCAGGGCTACATCTACGTGCAGTTCGAGTCCCTGAAGAAGGGCTATATTGACGACGTGGAGTTTCGGGTGCAGCCGGTGGACTCGGAGTCTCAAGCCCCTTGCCGCGAGAGGCGAAAGTCCCACATGATGCGCGAGCAGACGGCAGAAGCAACCAGCAACAGACCAAGTCGTCATTAGCATGGCCCAGCCAGTGGCCAGTTGTCTCACCAAAATCCCGCCCCCATTCAACAGGTCCATGCCTATCCGGGGCACAAGGAATGTTGTTCATGGCACAGGAGCATGGGACAAAGCCGTTGTTGTGTTTTCAATTAGGGATAGCACGAAGCATGATGCATGGGACCCAGTGGGCGGACAGTTTATGGGCCGAGGCACAAACTAATTACAAAGGTTTAGAAGCCAGCACAGCCCTTTCCATTCCTGGCCAAGAGTAATCCCATAGTGAACAACATCGTGCACAATAGATAAGTCAAGTATGCTTAGTCTGTTATTCAAGGCTCACACTCAGACTAGAAGACCACAAAATGCCTGGGCAGACGCAGCAGAATTTGATCTGGCTGCCGTCCCTCGGTGTACTAAAGCTTTGGCCTTTGTGGCATGGGTTCAACGTCCAGTCAAGGAATCAAGGTCCAGACAATGGCAGTCCAAATGGCCTCCTTTCTTTCTGCCAACACCAGCCGCTTCAAAACACCTGGGTCATGGCAGCATAATAGTGAGTTCTAGAGGTCAAGGAATAGGAAGGGCTGCGACATCCTCGGCCCGTGACCTCACTGGCCTGAATCAGATGCTGGCCCGAGGTCTTGGTGCGGTCAGCCAGCCGCCTGGGCTACCTGGACCTTGGGGTGAACGCCAAGCGTCTGAACTGGATCTCCCAGCGGCTCAGGCTTGGCTGTTCCGACCCCCAGACAAGAATGGTAGGAGAATTGAACCTCCCCACCAGGGAGATGATTCCCCTTATTTGTTTTTCCCTCAACCGGACAAGTTGCAGCCTCACACCAAAACAGCTCGGTTGCCAGGGACCGCGGCTGGGCGGCCCCAAAGATCACAGCGGAGCTCTTCCCCAGGCGGGACTTGACCTCGATGTGGCACCCAAATCCCCAAATCCCTGCAGCTTCCCTGCCAAAAGTGGTCAACTCCAAAGAGGGCCCTCGTTTTGCACCGGGGTCACTGGGCAATCGGCGAAGGCCCAGTATTGTTGACAACTTCCAATTTGTGTGCTGGATTGGTCAACTTCAACTCGATTTGAGACCATTGTCTTCTTTATTTTGTATGAAATGGCAACTTGTGAATTGTGAATGATGCTTGAGTGCTTGTTAACTTACGTACGTTTATAAATCAGCAAGGCAAAGCTATGCATAGCTTTTTAGTTCAATGTGATAAAATCGTAACGGAACCTGGATCACTTGCCAGTGGCCGCTGCATTTGCCGCGTGATTCTTGCAGCGCCAACGATTTGCGAAGCTGGAGACAGACGTTTCAGTCATGCTTCCATGTCTCCCAGGTATGCGAGTGAGAATCGCTGAAGTGCTGCTTTGGCACAAAAGAGCATAGCCGCTTGCAAGCGGCTGCATTGCAGATGGATTCATGGGAGCGCTGAAGCATGTGCATGTGAAATGTCAGAAGCAGCTTCGTTTGGTGTGACTACCGACTGAATCAAGCCATCGGGCGAAGTGGCCGCTTTAAGCCATTGGGCTTAGTGGCCGCTTAAGCCATGGCCGGGCTGCGATTTGAATCGGTCTCGGCCGGCAGCTTGGCTGATTTGGCTGAAAGGCGTGTCAGTCCCGGGTGTTTTGTCATGAAGGCCACTCCCCCAGACGGCAGCACACTGAATCGCTTGTTTGCTAGCAGGTTCAGAGGAGCATTCGATGATGCAGTCAGGTCAGATTTTAGCGGGAGGACTTGCCTGGCAGCTTAAGGTTCGATTCCGGCCCAGCGCCTCACTGGGACCCAGTCACTTCCGCAACAGCAACAGTGTTGAGCAGATGTTTGTCAAGACCCTCCAAGCTTCCCTGCAGTAAGAGAAGCATTGATCAATGTGCATGATGTTGAGCCCGTTAAACAATCGGAGCGGCAGCTTCCATGTCTACGTCATGAACGATTCACAGGAGCCCAACAGACTTGCAGCAGCCCCGGCTCCGACTTGCTCATCTCTTGCATGCTTCCGTGTGGGCAATCCAAGGCAGCCTTAGCGTCTCGGAGCCAGTCGAGTACAATGTCCGCGCACTCGACTTAGATGGCTTCAGCACTAGCTGGAGGCTTGGTCTGTTGTAACCAAAATCAACCAGTTTACAACTATTATGTTGCAGTTCCAGGATTGTTTTCCCTGGAATCGCTTGGACCAGTCCGAGTTATCGTCCAGGTTCTGTTCTCAGGCATTCGTTTTGACACTGAGGATTTGATTATCTATGCGCTGGGCATCGGCTCTAGCGACCTGCGCTATGTTTACGATCCTTCAGCTGCAGTGAAGACCAGCCACCGGTACCCCAAGTGAAACACCGTCCACAGGACTTCTTGGCTGAGTTGCTGGCGTGAGACATTCTGATTTTTGTTCGTGTGCCAGTGCCTGAGTGATGGACCTTGTCCAAGGAGAAGCATCCGGACTTTGCAGCGTTTCCGACCTTTCCCGTGGCTACCCGGCGCTGCTATCGTGTTGGGCCATTTGTGTGTTTGCTTGCATGTGCGTGGGAACGGGAGGTGCGTTTGTTCGATGTGGATGGATGCATGAGACAGAGAAGGTGCCTCAGCACCTGAGTTGTTCAAAACGGGTGGCTCATGGCCTTTGTGGAAACCGTCATAACATCAGAGCTGGTATGCTGGAAGCTGGCCAATCCCCAACCATGGCAAGATGTTTGGACGAAAGGCTGCAACCCCTCGGAAAACGTGACCTCATGTTTTTGTCTGATGAGATGCAGATTGCATGCGATGTGCCATGATTTATTCGATTTCGAATCAGCCACTTCCCATTGGTTCATTGAACGCCAATCGCTCCGTGTAGTAGTAAATACTCCCCGCACCCAAGAAAGCCGGAATTCTCTGGGGAAATCCGCGAAATCGGCAGGTTTAATATTGGTTTAGAATTGGCGGATTCTACATGTAGTATTGGGGATCTGGGGGTCTGGGAGAAACGATATTTATTAGTAGGGTGCATTTGTTTATAGGGGGAAGATATTACTGAATGCAAGCATGCGACTTCCGACACGCTCTCACGAGAGTTCTTTTTGGGAGAGCATGAGGTGCTCTACTACAAGGGTACATCCTTCGATGCGCTGCCATTTCCTTCCCCTATCCTGGTGGCGTCCTTAGTTTTCGTTTCGGGAGCTGCGCTATGCCGATGTTTCCTTGGATGGCAAGCCAGGTATCCAACACAGAAAACAGTTCGTGGCAATCAGCTCCTTCTGCGCTTGGAGCCATACGCAGATCCCGGGGACAGCGGAAGGGTGCCTTGCTATTGTGAATGCTTGGAATGGTGAGCACTCAGCACGGTCAATCTTCGTTGCCTGGTTGTTCCCTTATATTCCCTTCGTGCTGTTCTTGGCACAGAGCACAGGCTGACTTTGTGTCCTCAACTGTGGGTTCCGCTGGGCCGCATGTTTGTCTGTTTGGGGCATGCCGCAAGCCCGCCAGGCTGCCTTTCCTTCACCCCCGATGAAGAATGTGAAGGTCTGGTTGGACGCGGGCGTCACCATTGAGCGCCTCGCCGACCTGCCAACGGCTGGCCGGATGAAGGTCGAGGGTGGCGTGGCCTCGGTCCACAGGAAGGGCAAAGGCGCGGGTCGCGAGAGATGAACTTTGATGCCTGTGGTATGAGAGAAAGTGTATCAAAGTGTGAGAGCATCGACTTGCAGCGTTGCCTCGTGGAGTTCGGTAGACACCAACCCACAAGTGTGTTACTGTAACAGCGATGATCGAGCTAAGCCTTGGGTCCTTGACGCCAGAAAGCGGTGTCCCAAATTTCCCAGACTGCAATGCAGGCAGGTCAAATAGAGGCTCTGCCTTTTGTGGGGACTTGCTTGTAACAGGCTTCAAAGCGGTCTCGGTTGGAGTTGGACATTTGGTTTTTCGCTGCAAAGACCGGCCAGCCCAGACGCGCAAGTGCTTCTTTTTGTTGTGTGTGTGTGTGTGTCAAACCTGGGGACGCACTTTGGCCTCATTTCAGTAGGAAAGCGATACGAATTCACCATATTTATATACCTGCTTCCGACATACATGCCATGGTTTGTAAGAAGGGTACCTTCTTGTGGCAGATCAAAGCTGAAAGAAAAAGGCCCAGCGCAAGGAGAATCGGGCCAAGACCTTGAGATCTTGCGCGCTCCAGCCCTCAAAGCATGCTTTGAGGGTTGGTGAGCGCAAAGTCTCAAGGTCTTGGCCTGATTCACCTTGTATTTTGGGACCTCCAGCCCTAAGTTCACATTTGCATTTCTCCCAAAGAGACAAGGAACACGCATCTCGAGTCTCGAGAGGCGCCTTTCTGGAGAAGCTGCACGAGCTCAAGGATGAGGTGAGGGGCTTGGGACTTGTTGGAGGCTGGTCGACCCTCTAAGGGCTAGGGACGAAGGCCTCGAATCCTCCATGGTTTCGACCACGGCCGCAGAGGGCATCCCATGGCAAACGATCTGGGGCGGGTTGCATGTATTCCAAGTGGAAGAAGTGTGGCATAGAGGATGCTGCTTGCAAAGTCGCATCATCAGCTGTTTAGAAGTTCAGAGCATTTCAGAACTCTGCTTGCAATGGCTAACACAATGTTGTCTTCCAAGAAGCAGTCCTGGGGTCTTTGAGGCGGGCAAAGTCTACTACCGCATGATCGACGCGTCCTTTTGCGTGGGCGCCACCGACTTTGAGGAGTTCGGGCAACAGCTGACGACGCTGGTTCAAATGCCCAAGCGGAGCCCTGAGAAGCGGCGGGAGACCAAGTTGGAGGCGGGGCCAGCCGAAAAACGCGAGGGCCTTGGTCGGGCGTGCGACTCGACAAGTTTGGGTGCTGCTTGGGTTGCCATGTTGGATTGCACATCGAGCTAGGGGCGCCTTAGAAGATGTGGTGCTTATAGCATAATTACCCATCTTCTTGTGAGAGTTGTGCCGCCCGACTTGTAGCATGGCTGTGCCTTGATGGATCTTGACAATCAATACCGGCCCCATGTCAGCATTCCGAGAGCAAGCGGGATTTGCGCGAACGGGATTTGCGCGCATTCGCCCCCGTGCACCTTTGAGGAGCGTGCCGCCATGATCTACCGCCTCTCAGGCCGCGCCCAGAACACTGGTCCTGTGTTTACCCCCACCCTCCACACATGCCACTACTAGATGGTAGGGACAAGCCTTGATGACTTGTTGGTCCTTCTCACTTTGCAAGAAGGAGCTGGTTGCTAGACTTGGGCAACAAAATGGCCATGGGTTCATGCCAGCTAGTAGCGACGGATTGTGTTTTTGGGCAGCAGCCTGCGACTTTGCACTCGTCGTCAGGTGACTACAACCCTCTTCACCTGGATCCCGAGTTTGCCAAAACGGCTGGCTTTGAGACTCCCATCGTCCATGGGAAGTGCACTTTGGGCCACACTGCGCGATGCCTGCTTCTGGGACCAGAACACGACACACGGAGAGAATGATGCCCTGATGTCTTTGTTGAAAAAACCCTTTTCAAAGACCAGACGATTTCGTGCACAACTTTCTTGCCCCCAAGCAGGCCTTTGGGCTGTGTATCGCTTTTGGAGAGGGAGCTAAAGCTCTACCCCACCGTACCTGGGTTGGCCATGGACAGACCTGTCGAGCGCGTCACGCGCGTCGCGCGCGCGTGGGGTGCGTAGGCTGGACACCTTGGCCGGGGGCGACCACCGGCGCTTCCGGAGCCTCGCGCTCCGCTACTCGTCCCCGGTAATCCCGGGCCAGACGCTGGTGGTGGAGATGTGGGAGACGAATGCGCCGGAGGATCCGTTTTGGGGAAGGGGGGGGAGGAAGGGGAAGGGGGAGGTCAGGATTAGTTGGGCGGGGCGGTTTCCCTTTGCCTTTGAACCACCATTTCGAGTTCAGGAGTTCAGCAATCCGCATGCCTATGGCAGATTTCTGGCAGATTGCCACGGGCTACAGCAAGTATTGAATTTTGAGTTGCAACCTCCCGTGGTTCCGTTTTCATTTGTTTAGCAGGCGCAATACATCTCATGCAGGTGGTGCAGGGTGTGCAGAATTTGTGGAGCCACCTGCACTCCGTTTTGAGACGTCTAACTTGTTCAGCATTTGGCGAGCTACGAGAGTATCATCATTGAAGTGTAACAGCTAACGTATTCTATTTGACAACAGTCTATGAGCTTGTTCTCCAAGAAATCATAACGCCAGCGTAGAGCATAAACTTTGCAGACCCGGCAAATGTCATCAGAGTAGATGTCTCCACTAGCTGTGAATGCCTGCTTGGCACAAATGAGCGGCTCGCGAAACCTTGATAGATGATTGACAAAGGATTGGTGTCACCCTCAATGGCAGTTTTTCTGAATGATTTGAGTGATGGTTCCAATGTAGAGAGGCATGCCCATCAGCATGTAAAAAGCTCTTCAACTGTCTTTATCAACATCTAGAACATGTGTCATTTTAATCTTGGGCGCGGATGTATTGATAGTGGTTGCCCTCCACAAGTGATGCATGCGACGAAATGGGGACACCTCATCAAGCAGGGCTTTGTTCATCCATGGTGCCCATCGGAGCTAGATCCCAGGTTTGGGGCACAGTCACAGCCGTGAGGAGTATCTCTTCCAGGTCCTGGTCAAAGAGACGGGCAAGGTTTGCGTGAGCAACGGGCGCCTGCTGCTTCATGCTGCCAGCAGGTTGTGACCGGACAAAGGGCCTGCTCGCTGCAGGGATGCCGGGGGTTGCGGGGGGGGGGGGATTTAAGATATCTTGGGTTCACAGCCCAGCGCTTCTCACTCGAGCTTGTGAGACTTGTTTTTTTTCCACTAGTGACGGAGGTGCGCTTTTCCGGGAGGGCAGGGAGGGGGCTGTAGGGAAGGCGCTGCATGTACTTCAGTAGCACCTTGACGCATGGATTGTTTCTGCAAGTTGCTCTGTAAACTGGACACGGGCAAGAGCAAAGGTTGAACCAAGTACAAGGATTCAAGAATGCCTTGAAGCAAGTACAAGGATTCAAGAATGCCTTGAATCAAGGTGTGCCACAGACAATTGTGAATAGATTGCTGGAATCTGCGGCCAACAAATTTCAGAACCCTTCCCCGCCCGCCGTCCTAGCGGCAAATGCACCTGGCTAAGTCCTTTCTTTTCTTCCGGAAAAAGAGGAGTCTCCACTGTCATCCTGCATAGTACTGCGTCACCCCTCGACAAGTGAGTCACAAGCCAAGATCAAAGAGCATGCACTCCTAGTGGTGGAAGAAGCACATTCTTTGTTGGCTGGTGGTTTGTGTCCAACGCGGGTCCTCGTTTGAAGAAACTCAGAACTGCCGCAACTGCCTTGTGCCAATTGGCATGGGCGGCGGTTTCACATGTCTAGCAGGTATCTCAACAAGGAACTGTCAATGGGCCAGCCAACAAAACAAGGCATTGCCTTCGTTTATGTTGTGTTGCATGGACTCGCTATCCAGGATGCTTGAAACACATGGTACATGCTCGAGAGGTTGAAGCGATCTGAATGCCTAGCGATCCCGCCCGATCGCCGGCCTAAATTTTAGCAACTGCTCACAGATACGACATTCCCGTTCAAGCTTGTTCTTGTTCCCAATGATCGACACTGCAGAGAAAGCATGTGCAGTATGAGCTTGCGGGAGCAGTATTTATGCAGCCATTGGGAGGTTTGATATTGTAGCATGCATTGGCCTGCTGAAGGTTGCTGCTTTGCCGCCGACCTCTAAGAATAACGAGCCTTTTTGTTTGTATCCAGTTCCATTCTGACTCCCACAAGGCACCGGCACATGTGTTTTAGCAACACATTGCAATCGGTTGATGGTCACCCCTCAGCTCCTTCAACATGAGAGACATGGTGAATGCCGGCACCTCAGGACGGTCTTGCGACTTCTACATGCCCTTTGTACATTGTTCTGGAAACTTGACCCTGGCATTTGCAGAAATCGAGCAGTTCTAGACGTGGAGAAGGGCTCTCTTTACATGTTGTTGCGTGATGCATTGTTTCAGAAAATCACCTCGCAAGGGGTGAAGCGGATGAGTGCATGTTGCTCGCCATGAGCAGCAAGGATCCTGAGCCTTGGGCGGTGCTCAGGTCCGGTCATCTCGGCTCCGGCTTGGCCCGGGCGCCCAAGATTGATCAACCCGTCTTGTCCCAGGTTTATGATGATTGGTGGGTATTTGTTTTCTTCCATCATATTTGTTTATTCTATCAGCTGACCCTCCCTGGGTCGAATGATTCTTCGAGCCTGCTGTCAAATAGTCTCCCATCCATCAAAAGTACATTCGGTCAAAGTAATGTGAGCGCCAATGTTTCCTTCCCACTGATGAGCCACCGCGAATAGCCGGGTTGAGCAGCCATTTCTGGCGGCGGGGTCCACTTTTGCTTTGCTCGTTGGAGGGAAACCAACCAGCATTAGGGCCCTGATTTCAGCACAGCCACATACCCACCACACCCACCACACCCACCACACCCACCACACCCACCACACCCACCACACCCGCCACACCCACCACACCCACCACACCCACCACACCCACCACACCCACCACACACCCACAGTGAGCCCCTCCAAGGCTGGCCCGGAAGTCTGCTGCTGCCCGGCCCTCAGCCCTTGCCCGTGGATCCAGGCGGCGCTGTCCAAACATAGGAGCCACCATGTCCAGTGAAGGCTGAGCCTGAGAATGGCAACAAGTTAAAGATTGTTCTCGTTTCAATCAGTTGCATGTGTTGCACTTCGCATAGTGCTTCCCTCAAGTTATTAGGTTCAGCGCTGCTGTGCCATTCGGAGGCTTCATGCTACTTGGATTTCCAAATGTGGCTCATGCTTAGGCTGGTGCTGTGCAGACAGATGAGTGCCACCTTTGCCAGGCCAACAGCGTTTGTTCATCAAGTCAGAGTGGCTCGGATTTGATGTCAAGCTGATTTTGCCGAAAAATTGGACAAAATGCTGGATACACTCGACACGCTCGACCATACTCTACTTTCAAGTGATGATGACAGGTGGCGATTGCAGAAACAGTGTATACGTGCTGGATCAGCAGGATGTGTTTTCCAATGCTGCGGCTTGTGCGCGGCAACTCATTCGCTAGCGGCGGGGGCCTTGCGCCACCTGCCTTTTTTTAAATGGGGAATCGCCTCTCCCGCACTGGCAGACGCCTGATGTGGTTGACACCGCTTTTGCTTTTGCTCGTATTGCCACTACCCAGTTGTGCTTTGGCAGCTCCAAATTCGGTTTCGCAGAGAGCACGCCCTGATCCCGTTGCCGCCATGCAAGCAATCCGACGACATTTTGCACTAGTTTTTTCTTCAGGCTTTGAACTGGTGCTTCCCTTTCCTGACACTGCAAATGGATGGATTCCTAGCTCAGCTTCAACAAGTAAGCTGCCAAGCGCTGAGTTGCAGGCCTTTGTGGCGGGGTAACCCCCGCGTCCGTGTGCAGCGTCATGCGAGGCGGGATCCAAAGCCCGATTGGTTCGGTCACAGAGAAATTGTGCGAGGGCATCTGGAAACTTTGCAGCCAGTGAGTCGTTTAGTTCTTGCTTTCATTGCCTTCCATCCTGTGGCTCGATTGTAGTAGGTATCGTGCCTTCAAGGATTCCGGGCGCCGAAATCGTGGTGCTTCAGATTGTCTAGATTTGAGGGCATGGCGCCTTGATTGAAATGCGCTTCAAAACCAGCTGCAAAGCGCTTGCCTCAACAGCCCGTGTTTGTGTTTTGGACGGAGTGTCCTTCCTGCAACACCACGTCAGCCAAGTGCAACTGAAGCTCAAAGCATGCACTTGACAGAATCTGCAGTGCTGTTGCATCACATTAAGTAGGTTGCCGACGCCCACGGGGGGACAGGTTTTACATGTTATGGATTCGTTATGGATGGACGAAAAGCCAAGCAGAAAAGGAGTCAGGGTTGAGTCTCGGAAGCCCTGAGAGCTTAAGGCACCAGCCCACCTGGACGTACCAACTATTGAACCATTTGAAGCGCGCTCCTTGCGAAAAGCATCTTTGTCCATCTCACCCGCCCAATCCCGAATTGAAACGGACGCCAGTTGATGTTCAACTAGCTGATCTCGCCAGCTTCGATCGGAAGAAGCTGGACAAGGAGGCCACCTTCGCGGAGGGCCTCGTGAGGCGCACCGCTTTCGCCCATTGAGGGAGAGACGCGCGATGCCCAAAGCGCGGCGCTCGGTGTGGAAAATGCGGGTGAACCCGGTTCAAGAGGACGAAAAAGGATATGCCCCCAACCCTGCAACGGAGGAGTTTTTTCCATCATGAGGCATACAGTATGCAATGGTGTGAGCTGTAATTTAAGTGGGGGAGAAATCAGACATGGATCTACATCCAACATGTATCAGGATTCAAAAGTGCTGCTTGAAACGTTCTGCACTATTTTACAGGGTCCTGATTCTGCAATTTCACATAATTTCCACTTTGTGCCCATCGAAGTCCGGTCAAGCAACAACCGGCGTTGCACCCCTGGTGTTGCGCCCGTTGCAACTATTTCTCTGCATGGTTGAGTGTACACTTCAGCATGGCTTCGACAGAGTGAGGCTTCTTTATTACCGGTGCTGTTAGCGTTTTAATGTGTATCCAAGGAGGGGGGCAATGCAGGTGCTTACAGCTTCTTGATTTTGCGAGGAGTGTGTTTGCAGTGTCAACATGCCGGCGAACTTTGTTTGACTGCTGCGATCCTTTCGCCTGAATCAAAGGAAGGATTCATTCCAAGTGCTACAGTAACACAGCGAATTTGCAGTGGGCAAGAATCATATTGTTTCACGATTTGGCCCCCCCCCCCCGAACCAGAACTCAGCAATCTCAGATGCCGCCAGGCAATTCTCGGACCTGTTCAAGCCAGAGCAGAAAGAGCCAAGCCCAGAGGCGGGGGAAGCGAAGGGAGCGGAAGGCATCGACTCAGAGTTCATGTTGGTGGTAGCCCGCTTGCAGTTGGCCAAGGTAAGAAGGCGCAATATTCCAATTCGATATCAAGCAGGATTTTCTTGAGTTCTGGAGCCCTTACCCTGATCGACACACACTTGCTGGTGCACTTTGGTATGGGCACGCAATGTGAACAGCCAGCTTATCTCGATTTAATAGGCATTGCGGATGACCGCAACATGACACAATAGCATTGTGTCTGCAACGCATTGTGTGTACGTTGAGGCACGTGGAGCAATGATGCACAAAACACGCCGATTCCCCAACTCAGAATGGACACACGATGCTGGCTTGCTGCTTATTTGCGAGAAACTGAGAACTGACAGGAGCTGGAGGCTTTGCAGCGGCAAGAGGAGAGCAGCGAGGCCACGGCCAAGGACATGGCCTCAGAGCTGCGCGAGCGTGAGGCCGAGAGGCTGCTAAAGTGGTTGGTCTCCATTTGGTTTACCAACCAACCGGTACTGCTTGAGTTGCAAAGCAGGCTAACAGCGATATAGAAACGCGTAGAAGCCCCTTTCAAGTGTCGCTTGATTCTGCCTGCCAAGAATGGAAGAGGTAGGTCGTTTGGTTGTGTCAAACTAGGGGACCCCTTAGATGTTTCCGTGTTGGCTCCCGTTAAACCAACCTGAAAAGGGTACCAAAAACATGGCCATATGTACAAATGAGTTGTCGATTCGGTTTCTACTGCAGGCGAAGTAGGGGTCGATTGCTTGGCTAGCACTGGTAAGGATGTCATTGGTTTGTGCAGGGGCGCTTGTTTGTTTGACGCAAGTTCCTGAATAGATCCAGATGCCCTGCTTCTTGTTTTTGGTGTGAAGCTGCTTTGGCCTATCAATGGTATCACTGCCTTGCAGTGGCAAGTCGCGAGGTTGTATTTTTTTTTTACCCCGCCAGTGTGATGAGCCGTTCAACTCCACCAGTCTTATCCCCAAAGCCTTCGGATGGTTGCAACATGTCGTGCCTGTGCCGAAGGCTTTCTTTGTTTCGGTGTTTTCTTGCGCAGGGCATGTCGGAATCACGGGATTGACAATTTGTTTTATGCTGACGACAGATTGAGACGGGCTTCACAAAGAGTTTGGTCCAACCACGGCAAGATTCCCAATGACCCCATGTCAGTGCCGTCGGGAACACATTGCGCTGAGGCGCTTCAGTCTTTGAGGCTGCAGGTGCTGGCAGGAGAGGAGGATGAGCAAGGCGGGAAGTTCTGTCAGAGTTGATTGGCTTGGGTCCGCGTCAGAAGGCTCCAGACCAGGAAATCTTTTATATTGCCGGAGATCCTTTCATGGCAACTAACTCCGACCGGAGGGAGGGGCCTTACACAATAGCAGCCCTCTCAGCTTGTCAGAGCAATGAGCCTGGGCATAGAGGCCAAGCGCGAAGCGGGGACTTCCCAATGTGAATGGAGCCGTTTCCTTTTGGTCAGCTCTGGAGACTCGGAATTCCATGAGCCTTCAGGCGTGCCCATCCGGCGCGCTGCCCCTATCTCAGTGCTGCAGTCGAAGGCCCGCACAGTGCCGCCTCGGGGCGGCAGGGAGGGCATTTGAAAGCAGGAATACAAGCAACATCAAAACATCAACCAACTCTCACTTCAGGATGAAGAGTGAAAGAGGAACGTGTCCACACTTCGCGCGCACGCAGTTGTCAAGCCGCTTGCTTCACTCACTTACGTCGGACGAACGCCCCCCTTTCGTGAGTGTCAAGCCGCTGGCATTCTGTGTCAGCGCATTGCTCAATCAAGGTTTTCTTCTGCAGCGAAGGATGCAAGGCATGGCAGCGCTGCTGCTCAAAATGCGGGTCTCTGGGGTCCTCTTTGGGCTTTGGCATTCGTAGTAGCAACGCCTGTGATGATATTTGCCACTAGATCACCTGCGGCATTTCGATGGCCATTGACGTGGAGGGTATGGCTGCTGTCCTTGGCCTTGTGATCGCTGGCATCCGAGCCGGAAGGATACTTTTGAAAAACACATTTTGGACCCTTTGCGAGATCCTGAGGATGCGGCCAGCGGGAGAATGCTCTCGGGTTGCCATGCTGATCCTTGGCAATGGCTTGGAGCTGGACCTGTTCCGGCGTTGCATGGTTCCCCGTCGCACAACTCACTCACCGAAACAAGGCTCTGTTCGGCCGGACCATGTCGCTGTTCCAGTTGATTGCCTGCTGCTCACGCTTGGCTGACCGAGGTGGCAAACCTGGACGACCCATCCCAACTTTGAATCCTTGAATCTTGCGAGGGATCCCCATTCTAAGCACCTGGAGTTTAGGCCGCGGTGATCCGAAGGCATCTTTGTCTCTCTGCCCTTTCCCTTAAGGGCAATTTCCTGCCTTTGGCAGGATGGAGCAGTGGATGGAGTGTGGATGGTGTAGTTTTGTAGGATGTAAGCCACCCCACAAAAATGGCACACGCCCTCGCCATTTTGGCTACATGCTTTAAGCTGTGTATTGAAATCCTGTTCACTCTCTCGTGGCCATGGAGAAGCCTCTTCTCCCGGAGACGCCTAAGCTGCAGGTGATCGGCGCTGGGTGGGGCCGCACGGGGACGAACAGCGTCAAGCTAGCGCTCGAGAAGCTGCTGGACGGGCCCTGCTACCACATGTTCGAGTGCGTCAAGCGCCCGGACTTCCAGCTGTGGATCGACGCCTACAACGGCAAGAAGCCTGAATGGGATAAGATTTTTACCCACAAGGATGGCGGAACCTACAAGGCGACACTGGACTATCCGGCCTGCGGCATGTACAGAGAGCTCATGGAGGCGTATCCTGATGCCAAGGTCTTGTTGACGGTGCGAGACCCCGAGAAATGGTACGACAGCGTCATTGACACCATTTGGTCCTGGCGCTGCGCTGAGCAGAACTGGTCTGTGAGGCAGGGAGCGTGGGGTTAGCCCAGCCAGCTGTTCGTTTGAGAACTCCGGCACGCGACCAATGGACCAACCTAACAGTTTGGGGCGGAAGTAGATCTCGTTTAGACGTTCATATCCCCAGCCCTCTACCTTCACCCAGTCAGACGACATGAAGTAACGGGAATTGCCACGGCAGTCCAACCGATAAAGCAGGTCAATCAAGAGCTGGGCACGCTGGATGAAAATAAATTTGAGTGGTTCCCAAAGTCATCCCTGGGGGACGCATCCCCCCCCAATGCATCATCCTTGACTGGGTTCACGAAAGTCGACATTTGGGGTTTGCACATTGCTTCGGGTAGATTGTGGTGTACAACCCCAGGTAGCAGGTTTCCAACGAGTCTCCATGACCAACGCGCCTTTTTTGGAATCGTTCGGAGGATCTTCCAAGCGGGCCGAAACTTCCAGACACAAGCTCAGCTCTTCCACAAGGCTACGATGCTGCCGGGGGTGAAGCGCACGGACAGAGAGGGCTCCATTCAATCCTTCAAGGCGGGGCTGGTGAAATGCGGAGCCTTCCCCACGGTTAATATGTTGGTGAGTCACTCCCCAGTTTCCTCTATTTTGGAGAGTGTACGTGTCCCTGTTGCTACAGTGAATGGCAAGGAAAATTGAGCCACTGCAGTGATCACAGAGTGAAGACGAGCTTTAAGCTCGACTCATCCATGTTGTTCAAACAGTTTGCACTCAGCTGAATTTGAGGACGTTTGCCTTGTGAGGGGAACATACCTTGACAACGCTCCAGCTGTGTGTTTGATCTCGTTTTGCTTCGTTTTGCTTCATGTCAGACGGCAGGCTGGACAAACCAAAACTCAGAATGTTTTCTCGGGAGGCTTGGGTGGAGCGCGTGAAGTCAACAGTTCCGCCTGAGAAGCTGCTGGTGTTTGATGTGAAGGAGGGCTGGGAGCCGCTTTGCCACTCGGCGAGTAGCACTGCCCTTTTGGGTTGCTCAAAAGGGACAACAAGTGCAAAACCGCCATTTTGGTTACCGTTGATTCTTTCTTGTTTTTCTCCTTTTTTTTCCGGTGGGGCCCTACTTTAAAACGCATTATAGGAGGTGCGTGCTTCAAATAATGTTTTGTAAAGAATCCACCACTCGTTGCGCATCGATGTACTCTGACTTTGCATTGTGTTTGTCTTTTTGGTTTGCTCGTTTGCTTGTTTGCACGCGCGCGTATCGTTCACGTGTGACTGCAACTCAGGCAAGTTCCTCAACCTGCCAGTTCCCGACGAGCCATTTCCCAATGTCAACGACCGGGAGCGGGATCACGGAAGTGTCAGTGAACAGGTTTGCTGTGATGTAAGCCAAACATAAAAAAACGCCTTTATTAACCTGCAGAATCTGACAGGTTAACGGGTTCAGGAGTGCAGTTTGTTGCTTTGCACTTCTTCTGTCATGCCAGGAGTCGCTTATCAAGGACATGAACAAAACCTTGGTTTTCTGCTACACCTGCAATTTCATTGCCTTGCTGATGGCTTTGGGTGTGGCCTACGGCTTGGTGCGCTTGGCGCAGTTCCTGGCTTGACTGGTGGATGGAAACGAGGTGTGAGTTCTGAGGCGGCCGGGCAATTGGGCAATCGGGCAATGGGGCAAGCAAGTGCAAAGAGCGCTGGCCACACGTCGGATAGTTTTACAAGGCGAGCTCCAGTCCAGAAGCTTCTGACTGGCCTTGCGAATGGAAAGAGGGCATGCATCAAGAGCGACGGCCCATCTTCCATTGAACTTGCAGGCTTTCCGTGGAGCGTGAAACCCTGCACTGCCTAGAGTTGAACAGGAGTCCATTTACTCAAAAGGCCAAGGCTCAAACTTGCCAACCACTCAAGCCAGAAGCCGGAGAACCCAAGCCAGAAGCCAGAGATGGACCTTCGCCAAGCCATTCTCCCGGCAAATTGGCTGGCGCCAGCCCTTCGGAACCGGCTAGGCGAAGCAGAGCCTGGCGATCTTCGCAGCAGGGGGTCCTGGCTATGGAAACCTCCTACCCCTTGACTTTTCATCTCAGGCAACAACAATGAGACCTGTTTCATGAAGTCATCCGTGGCCCAAGGAGAATCCGTTTGCCCACTTGGTGGGGATGGCACTTGTGGAGGTTGCCGTCAGCTTGCCTCAGTGAGTAGGGGGATACGAGTCTGTGCTGAAGCAGAGGAAACAGACCAGAGTGGGGGGGAAGCAACTCTATGAATTATGTATATATATATATATATTATCAATGCTAACATGCATTGTCCCTAGAGCACCCCAAACTCTGGCAACATGCCATACCCTGCATGGAGTGGGCATCAGTAGGAGGCATGGATGCTCGAGGCTTCTCGTGTGGTGCCATCAAGGTCAAGCTGGCCCCATACTTTCTGGGGAGTGCGGCCGCACTTTCACATGCAGCACCAAAGCTCACCCATTTGACCTTCAAACCGGAATTTGTTGTAGTCGTCATTGAGAGCAAGGTGTGTTGCATCTGAGGTGTTCAGGGACAGGCCGATTAAAGTGCTCGCCGTTTTGCTTCCATCGGCTGCCACGGAACATCAGAGACGGACAACAGCTCTTTCCCGGACTTGCTGTTGCTGTGTGCTAGGTGCCAGTGGGCAAGGAGCAGCTTGTCACAGACGTGCTCCTGTCCATGAGGAGGGGTCGAAGACATCAGCTGGTCTGACTCTCCAGGTGTCAAAAACTGGTTCATTTGCTGGTTGTCCAGCTCTGGTTCAGTAACTACGTACTTCCAGCTCCCAAACAAGGCCTCAATTTCAGCATTCAATTGAAGACACATGAGCAGCTTGGACACTAAAAGCATACAGTGTCGAATGGCGTGATGTTGGTGTTTGTGACAGGACAATCCGTACATCCACGTCACAATCACATAGACAATATGTTGCAAAGCACATGACTCGGGTTTCTTCTAGGAGGCTGGCGAAGAATGGGTGCCTTTTCCATTCAGCAGGACCCTATGTATATCCTGTCAAAGCCTGACACAGAAGCTGCGACCGACCCTGAAAGCCTTGGAACAGACTACGTTTTTGGGTGGGTCACACACCTGAGGTACTTATACTTCCGTTCCGTCAGGATAGAAGCCAAGGACTTTGGCGAGCGCAACATCTTGGTGGTGCCGGCCGCGGTCCTGGGGTAGAACCCATGGACCACTTTCCCCGCGCCACATGCTTTCTATGCAAGCTGATCAGCCATGTGAGAGGCAACATAGGGAAACCACAGATATTTGTGGACTGAATGACACTAGTGGACGATAGAAGACCATCAACCAGCAAAACCGAAGAGCACATGTGCTTGACCATGCTCAGGCACGAGCCTGATGTCCATGTCAATATCCAAGAATCACCTTGGATCTCTGGAGAATGAGCAGAACAAGGAACAACACACCTGTACAAAACCCATGCAGAGAAACGGGACTCGCAGGTGACTCCCCCGGCACGTTTCACACTTAAAGCAAGTGCACCTCAAGCCCAACCCAATCTGGCCCCCATAAGCCTTCGCATTATTTTGTGTTCACCCTCAAGAGGATCCTTGCCATGTATGCTGGACCAGCGTTTGGGGATTTCAGAGGACAGGCTTTGATGATGGCTTGTTTAAGCTCCCTTTGGGCAGTTTCGCCATTAACACACCAGTCTGAACCATCATGGATCCCCGTTTCAGCATGTTGCATTTGGGCTACACGATAGCGAGACCAGACCACATTTTGAGCAATGACAGGGACAGCTCCATGTGGGCTCTTCTCAGGCCATTCTGGACGTTGACTCAAAGAAGATCGTCGAATTCCCGCCCAACATCGGGTGAGGGGCTCGTGTGATATCTTTGATACATTTCATAGAGCTGCATGATTCACGTCCTTGCAGTTGTAATACGCTTCATGTCAAATGGTGCAGAAGACACGGTCATAGCCCAAAGATCCTCTCAGATGAGTCGCATCCCCCGAGGAACTCCAAGTTGATTCGCCAAAGCGCGGTGGCGCTGCCCGGCATGGAGGAGGGCCAGGAGCGCCCGGTCCGGGTGTCCGTGCGGAAACACAAGAGGGAGCTAGGACGCATGTTCTGTTTTGTTGTGGTTTGCATGTCGATGGATTCTTGTGAAAGAAAGCACATTGCATGTCATCACTGAGCAAGAATGTAGAGTAAGAGGGGCTGAGGCAAGCCACAAACCACAGCATCGCGTTCTCAGAAAAGTGCACCTGCTTCCGCAGGATGCGGCTTGGGGCGAGGTGTTGGCAGCGGAGTTCGAGGAAGCGGAGCAGCAGGACATTGGGGAGGCGCGGTGGCACCGGTTGAGAACTGTGACCTTGGCATCCCAAAATTGGTGGGGCTTCCCCCCAGTTCCTTGAAGCCAGATTCCCAAGGTCCAAACCAGGTGATTGGGCAAGCCTTTCATGGGGGGCCTTGGGGGCTTTGCAGCGAATCAACAGCGACACGAAATGACGCGAATCCCTTGCAGAAGCAGTTTGGATGTGTGACTTTGCGACTCTTCTTGGACAAACCGCTGATAACGTTGTAATTCAAATCCTTGACGGCTAAAATGCGGGAAAACGCTGGTACTGTAAATCGCAGTGGGCTCGTGCATTGAACGTTAGGAGCCGCTGTGGTGTATCTCCTACTTGGCACAAGGATGCTTCTCAATGATCAATGATACAAACAACTTCCCACAAGTTGGTTGCATTTATTTTTCACTTAGGGGCTGCCAGCCCAGTGGAGCTATGCCTTTTGCTTTTGGGGCCTTTAGCAACGTGTCCAAGATCTGCAATTCGACCAGCCAATGCAGTTCAAGCTGATGCCCCAAACGACTTGGCTTCCCATGAAACGTCGAAATCCAAGAGTTGGGCGGCTTTCAGTTCGGGACCCGAGGTCATGCAATACGGCCTGGCTCTGGTGGTTCGGCTGGGAGCCCGTGAGTTCGGCGTACCAGGGGAACAGACAACTGCGACACATTTCTACTTATGCCAAACTTCTGTGTGAAGTAAACAAATCCAGCTGCGTACCAGAGTGATGTTTGCCTGAGGCGGGACGGGTCTATTGCCCGCAGAGCTTACGGTCGGCCAAGCTGGAAGGCGCTTGCGTGATCGGTGATCAATGCATTTGCGGCTGTGTTTTTGTGCTGGGATTGCTCGCTGCCGAACTCAATCCGCATGATTGCCCCTGCAGATGATTATGGTAGAAGGCAGCGGCAGTGAACCAACATGTTTGTATGTGTCTTAAAGAAACACCCAGCCTACTTGATGTTTTGTTGGGGTTCAAGGACAGTAGCTATGTGCAGCACTTGGCGTTGTGACCGCATGCAGTTGAGATGTTTGTGGCCAGGTTGTTTTTTCCGAGACGGACGACTGATGCTGCGGAGCGAAAAGGATGCGCTTGCTGAAGCTCGGTCTCAAGAAACGCGTATACGTTTGCGACGTCGCCGAACGTCTGCAAGCAGATTTGTGTTGCAGTTTGTTGCCCTTCAGCATTGCCTCGATTGCATATGGCGCAACATCAATACGGTCTCCGTACGAATCGCCGCCACCCCCGCGTCAAAACGTCCGCTGGAGCCGGCTTCAAGCGGGCAGTCGATTAACGTGCGCCACACGTTCAGTGCACGTTCAGAAACGACGTCAAACGATTGTCATGCTGCGCACATTGGACGGGCTTTGGTCAACGTGCGCATGGAAGTGGGGTAGATGTGCACACCTAATCGAGCAGGCCGAAGAGGGAGACTTGCTCATGCTCATGCCAGCCGTCGACTAGCGTGGGCTCCGGGTCCTCCGAGTAGTCTTGGGAATGACAAGTTTGTCGCTCAACGCTGACCGCCGCATTGTTTGACGAGCTTCCTAGCTTGTCAGATTTGCAGACAAGGTGGTTGTTGCTGCTGTGTTTCAGCCCGTGCCGTTCCTGATGCTCGCCTGCGGCCTTGCAACCTTGGCCTACTGCCGTGGGCGAGTGTTGCCCAAGATGGCCCTCCCGTGTTAGTCCAATGCGGGCTTCTTTGCTGGGTGCGGTCGCTACGACCCTCGTCTTGGCGCATGGCTGACTCAGCCTTCCGGCGCGCCTCAGCGGCCCCTGAGGTGCGAGCGCCGCCGCTCTGTGCTGGAGGACTTAGAAGAGCTTGCAAGCCCTTTGTGTAGCAAGCCGCGCATGTTTGTCGACTCTCAGTTGCCGCCACGCGCCCGCGTAACGCCGTCAACCTGCTTGCAGCGCCGGCGTGCGCCGGTGCTGTCGGCTGCTTGTGCCCGGACGCTTGCCGGCCAACCAACACCGCGCAATTGCTGCAGTGCAATGATTTCATTGCGAGGCGCCCACCGCGCCGCCAAAGCCACATGGGGGCGACTTGCAACCGATTGAGAAGGGTCCAGGACCACACCCAGAATGAGTCGAGCGTCTAACGGGCATTCAGGCACCGGGGTTAACCTTCGGCCGGCAAGAAACGCATCACTCTGAGCAAGGCCGCCCCTACGCAGGGTCTGCCCAAAGGTCCGATCCTGGCAATGGCTTCAATCATGAAGGCCCCCCCCCCCAAACAAATTGGGAGCACAATGACAATAAAGCAACCCGGCGAATCAATTTAGGGGGTCAGATTGGCCTTTCTGAAGTCTCGCTTTGTGCTGCTGAAGTGCCTTCATTGTTTCGTTCCGGCTTAGCATTCGCAAGTATTGCGCGCGGGGAGAACTGTTGCCCCTTTGATGGTCCTGCGCACTCGCTTGGCACCCCGTAGCGTATCTTCATTTGAAAAAGACGTGCAAAAGCTAAAAAACTACGCAAGGCGTTTTGCCTGGTTTGGGAGAACAGTGCTGGGTGTATATAATATAGTTTGATAGCCACCCGACAAGCTCTTGTGAAACAACTGGGGCAAAGATTGGCGCACGCGGCGCCCCAAGAACGGGGCCGACACGGTCTGCAAGCACGTCATTGAAATCGGGCTCAGGCTAAAACAAGCCAGCGGAAGGCAAAGCAGAATGGCAGCAGCTAGACCAGCGGTGGAGCCGCGACGGCGTCCCTGGCCTTGGCCAGGCAAGCTGCCGCAGGACGCGTCGGCAAACTCAAAGCTCCAATCGGCCACCAACCTCCCCGCTCCCTGTTGGCGCCGGGCATCTACCAAACCAACGGGCTGCGTTGAGGCGCGGCATGATGGCTCCATAGGGGCCCGCCTCTACCCCCTGGCCATTCACTCTGCGGCTTTGCAAGGAGCAGCTGAGGGTGCCCACGTTCTGTCCGCTAGCTGCCTGTCCCCGCGTTTGGCTTTCGCGGTGGGAATGGCGCAGCTCGGGGACGGGCCTAGTATGCGCTTTTGCGGCTTGATGCTGCCTTCCGAATCGCCCTGCCGCACTAAGCTTTGTGTGGCTAGGTGCGTTGCAAAAAACGGTCACGAACGTTGCGTTCCTTGCAGTCGGCACCCAGTGCTGGTGGCCTGGAACCCTGACTTCCCAACCGCGCTCTTGGGCCTCGCTCCGCACCAACTTGCGTCGTTCCCGCCGTGACCTCGGCCGGCCGCGGCCGCCCCCACCTCCCCAAGGACGGACTGTAGGACTTCCTTAAAGCAAATGCAGTTTGCTTGGGTTAAGCGAGGGGCTGGTCTTGAAGGGGGGTCCCTTGTTCTGAGTTTGAAGCCTTGTCACTTTCAACACATTTTGATAAAGAACGATGCATGTCGGGGGGAAGCACATGCTGGACGAAAACTTGAGGGCAGGAAGGGATGTGGTAGGACACTGTATACACTATTATACACTTGTGGGAGCGATTAGGACCAGGAGCAAGCTGCGCCAAAAGCAAAAGGACGTTGCCGCTGCGATGATTCATTGTTCTCTGCGCAGCTGCTAGGTTATAAGAGAGCGACAGGAAGACGACCGCGAGAGCAATGTGTGTTTCAGACGTGGTTGCATGGACCGCGTTCGCGAAGCCTCTGCGAAGACCCCACAAAGCCGCCGCAGTCCAACTTCCATGCTCCGCCCATTTGATTTTTGATCCACGCCTTTTCCGCCGCGCGTCTCCTCCCCCACACCCTGCTGATGGGGTGCTTTCGGGCGCGGGAAGTTTCACGAGTTGTTTTTTGAGAGGGCAGCTTTCTCTCCCACAGCCTCACCGGAGCCAGCGGCAAGCAAAGGTCGCGGTCAGCGCACCGCGCAGCTGCTCGCCCGTGCCCTGGCGAGCTGCCAGGCTAAAGTCTACAGCTTCGGCACTCCACCGCCGCACTGCAAAGGCCAGCGCGACCAACCGCAACACTGCCCCGGCTGCTTAGCCATGACAAAGAGTTGCCCTTACCTTACCGCCTCTCATTGCCTCTTTTTGCATGGGCCCAGCTTCACCACACGAGAGCGCAAACGTCAGAGATGTTTCTGGAACAAGCGTCAGCGAAGCTCCAGCGAAACCACTCCGCGAGGCCAAAGTCTTACGGCCAAACCTCACGAAGCCAACCCTTCCACGAATTTTGGCCCCGCGAAAGCGCCCGCGTACCCAAACAAAATGAGCCCGCCCTGCTTCATGCGAAGGGCTGCCCTGCGAGAAAAAAAACTGCAAAGACCCCTTTTCAATAAAAACACTCGCCGCTTGTGGTTTTTTTAAATATATACTCACAATTCGCACCAGGGTTTGCCCGGTAGCACGCTCGTTTCTGTTGATTGTTGCCCTTCCTGGATGATGCACGGACGGTTGCGCAGTCCAACTGGTCCTTGCGTACCAAAAAAACTGGCAGGTCAGTTGTATGAGCATTGCCGCATACCCTTGAACAGTGGGAAGCCTAGGATTTGGAACTTGTCCGGACGAGTGCCGCAGGGTCTGGGCCAACTCGGTGCGCTTCAGGCTTCGTGTTGGGTTGGTGCTGGCAGCCGGCCCGGCACGGGGCACGATCGGTCAGGTCCCTACCCCGAGCAAGGCTGCAAGAGCTGACGCAATGGCCACGTGGCTGCCGGCCCGGTAGCAGCAGTGTGCACGTGAGGACGCTGCCCTCCAAAAACAAACGTGCATGTGAGGAGGCTTGCCTCCGCAAAAACAGCTTGCAGGCTCCTAGCGCCCGGGAAAGCCCCCGTATGCAGCCTTGTTTCACCGCATGGGCAGACGCCAACGGGGTGCGGAAAAAAACAGAAAAACTGGTCACGTCGTGCGCCTGTGCGTACTCTGCAGGGTCAGACGGGGGAAGCATGCAAAGCAGGCTGGTCGCACGGGCGTTTCGGAGCTGAAAACGGACAAAGGCTTGCGTTACCCTTCCCACCTGTTTCTGCTCCGCCTCCCTCTCCCTCTGCCCCTTTTCTGAGCGCACCTGCCGCTGCCGTCGCCCTTGGACCCTGTTGGCGACCACCGTGGAGCTTGTGCCAGGTCTGGCGCGCTCAGGGGCCGAGGGTGCCCATTGGAGCGGGTCAGACACCACGCGCCTGGCAGACTCGAACCAGTGTGTTGGCAGGGTGGATGATAGGCGCTTGGAGGTCGTTGCCAATGGCCTCCCACTGTGGGGAGGCCAGCAGCTTGCAGTCGACACCACGCTTGTCAGGAGGGGTGGCCGCTTTGCTGGCGCGGCCCTTGTAATTGCGCGCCGGCGCAAAGAGCGTGCGTACCGAAAGCGTGTTCGGGCAGGCCGCTGCCGCCTTGTCGTTCTGGCGGTCGAGGCGCGCGCAGTTTTAAGCGCGTCAAGGCGCGAAAGGCCCCCCGTCGGCGCGCGTGGCCCGGTGGACTGGGTTGCTGACGCATGCCACGTCGGTCTTTGTGGCTTCGTTTGCCCACCAGCCGGCCCACAGTTGCGCAATGTCGTGGAGGGGTTGCCGGTGCTGGGCCGTGTTGCGTACGGATGCGCTTGACCGGGGGCTGCCGGTATACACAGCCCAGTGCCCCTAAATCAGGGTTTCTAGACATTAAGAGCTGTCTGTCTGCCGAAAGCAAACCAAGATGGACGGGGTGGCGTGCACGCTGGGCAGCCCGAGCGTATGGATGCGGCAGAGCGATGCGTGCTCCTTGGCTGGCGACTTGCTCCGGCGCCACTGGCCCGAGCGTCCGTGTTGGAAGGACATCCGGCCGCGCGCGCCCCTCTTCCGCTGTAGCGGCTGACAGTGAACCATGCGATTTGCCGCATGGTTGGCAGCTTCTCGTGTCCCGCACGCTCAACACCATCTCAACACCCACTTTCGCGAGACCGAGTTCCTGCCTCGGATTGCAGCTGTGCCCACTGACCCGGGGCCAACACTTCTGCGCCAGGCGTCAGTGCGCAGGACAGGCGCTGCCCTTGGATATTGCACTTTGTATAGCTCCACGCGCATAGCGAAGCGCTCTGCTGCGACGCCACGCTCGTTGCTCCGCTGCGTCGCGACGGCCGACCGCAACCACGCACGGCCGATGAGGACGGCACGGCCATTGCGGTAGCCCGGCGCCGCGAGGAGGCGCGGGACGCCAGCCAAAGCAAGCACATCGGCGAGGTCGGGCTCGCCTTCACGCCCCCCGAGCATCGAGTGGAAGGCAAGGCGGCGCAAAGCAGTGCCCACCACCTGCGGCGCCAGCCCGCCTTGGCCTCGCGGCGAACAGCCTGAACCAAGCCGCGCGCCTCGGGCCAGGCCACTGAAGCCGCCTTTCTCGGCGGCCATTTCAGGCGGGGGTCCCTGTAGGATCCATGTTTCACCACAGCTAGACGGAACCAAAAAAAGGAGTGGAAGAAACAACACAAAAGCAGGACCTCCTTTCCAGTTTGTGACGACAGTTAGCATCAGCTCAGCAGCAGGGGGAGGGGGGTGCAAATACTGAGAATTAATTGATCACAGCCACACGGGTGTGCCGTGAAGCCGGGGCCCGGGTTTGCCAGCATCGACAGGAGTCGCGGCCAGCAAGCGGGCAGCCAGAACATCCTGCCGAGAAAGGGCTCCGCGCGAGGGCTGCCGCAAGGAGTCCCCAACAGCAAGGTCATGGCGTGGACTCGGGTGGAAGCAATCGCATGACATGGTTGCGCCGAGGAGCACAGCAGAACAGCATAAACAGCCAAGAAACCTGCATGTCATCCAAGGGAGCACGCGCAGCTCGCTGCGAGGGCGTCGAGCTGAGCTGCGACAAATTGGGGGGAGCCAACAGGCACACGTTGTGGTTCAGGCGGACGCACGCATGGCGCCACAGAGTCTCACACAAACGCTCGAAAAGGAAACGAGCGGATAAGGCACGCTAATGGTGACAACTGATTAGTAAACCCCCCCCTCCCCCCCTTCAAGGTCGACAAGGTTTGGACAAGTCCCAAAACTTGATATTTTTGGGAGGACCTCCCTGATTACTCTGGAGCCTCTTCGGTCCTCGTCCTCTTACTGTAGTTCTGGTCCCTTCGGGGCAGTAGCACTTTAAAAGGCAACAGCACAGTTTAATCGCGGGGAGGTTCCTGTTAATGAGGGGGGGTCTGGCCTCGAAGGAAGGTCCCGTTTTTGCTGGAAAACCTTGTCGTTTGAAACAATTTTTTAATTAAATAAAATACATTTCGGGGGAAGCACATTTTTAGGAAACACTTGAGGGGTTCAATAGTGACTTAGTATTCGTGGGTTTACGCACAAACTAAGCAAATACTAAGCAAAAAGGAAGGCACTTTTTCTGGCAGGTTTTTGTTGGCTTGGGGGCTGCAGAGAATCAGGGAGGGTTTTGGGGAGGGCCCAAAAACAATTGGGTAGCGTTTTTTTGGGGAAACCTTGTTGGCACCTTATTTTAGTATTGGTAAGAATCCGGGGGGGGAAAGGGGGAACCTTTAATCGGGGGGTTTACTAATCGTCTCCTGACATTAAGGGAGTACAGGGCTGGCATCAAAATTGTTCCTTGCTCGGCCTGAGGTTGTGTGGGGCTGTGTGGGTGCTTTCGGAATCAGCCACACGAACTCAAACGCGGACGCGTAGAACAAACGGACGCACGGGAGACAGCGGTTGGCCATGGGAGCGGCGTGCAGCGCCTCAAGCTTGGTCCGCCACGACACGGTGCCAAAGGCACCAACCGCATCCACAGAAAACACCGCACCCTTTTGATCGAGCTCGACGGCCGAAGCCAAGGCAAGGACCAACTGGAGCAAGTTCCTGACGACGATGACCCGCACACCAATGGCTTCACCGCCGAATCAGCACGGGTGGTGCTCGAAAATGCAGTTGATTCGGATTTGGAAGGTCGCCCAGTTGGCTTGGCCAAGGTGGCCTCGTTGCCAGGCGCCGAAGGAGCTGCCAAGGCTTGACAAGCCGAAGAACGCTGGCCCAGCTGCACAAGACTGCTTTTTGTACGACTGTGATCCGTTGATGCCAGCACCCTATGCTTGGCCAGCCCGGTTGGCTGCAGGAGGCGCACTCCCGGCTGCAGTCTGGGGTGTCGGGAGTTGCGGTCTGGGCCAACCAGGTGCGCCTAAGGCTGGCAGCCGGCCAGTGGACGAACAGGGGTTCACTGCGTTTGGATTGGTGGCCGCCCCTTTTGTCCAAACCCAGCTCCCGATGGTGCAATTATCCTGCCCCCGTCTGAAACTGCAGAGTACGCGCAGCTTATGCTTCGGCCATTGCATCAGCCCTTGCGGTCGACCGCCGGGATGTTCAACAAGAAGGCGCGAAAACAAAAGAAGAAAAATAGTCGGCCCTGGAATCCCTGGAAGCCCAAGGCCACCCAGAGAGAGGGGCCGTCCCGAGCGGCCCCTCGCTCAAGGGGAGCAGTTGTGTCGTTCTGCCGTCATCCAGGACCACATGCGTCAGAACTAGCAGAGGTTGCCGTCCTGTAGCGGCTGCTGCGTCTTCTCTGCCAAATCGTAGCGAAACATCCGGCGTATGAAAAGCTGCAAGGGAAGGTGCCGGAAGATGTGGGGGTGCCTACGCCCTTTGCGAGTGCCGCCCGCGCATGCCACTAGCATGAAGAAACAATGTGGAAAAATTGCCATGGATTGACGTTGCAGCTGCCATGTCAGTCATGTCACAATATGTTTTAGTATTCGGGGGGGGGGGGGTTCAGACATGACGGCGATCTTAACTGTAGTTGGGAACGCACTAGTTCTGACGGGTGTGAAGCTGATGGGTTCGCAGCCATGACCCATGCCTAGTTAGTGACCCCTTCCCCACCTTTGGCATCCCGACAGTTTGAAGCCTATCTCTCAGCGTGAAGACCGAAAACAAGTTGCAAGCAGATTTTCACCGAAGAACGGCCTGGTTCGGTTCAGGATGTTTTATGATGCAGGGGTTACAAGGCTGCAGCACCATGTGCAGTGTCACTTCCCATGCGCAACACAGCAAGCAGCTGCCCGTCAGACAACATGTCAGCCATGGCCTTGCAGTTTTCCTTGGCGCCTACCGTGCCGATGTCGCCAACTCCTAGGATTGCCCATCCGAAAATCTTGAAAACCGGCGATCTTTCAAGCCACCACTTTTGCCTCTCTGGCTTAGTGGTCGCTTTGTGCCCCCAGAGCCGGCGAGGCCCAAGATCGCGCGGAACACGATGCGTTGCGCAGCGAGCCACGGCTGACTTGAAAGCAGAGTTGTTGTCCACTTTGTCTGGGGAGGATTGGGATCCCAGCCGGGTGGAGGCAGCGCAACGAGTGGAGGATATTGTGGCGGAGCTTACTCGGCTGTACCAAGATGCCAGGCTACCACCTGCAGATGCTCAGAAACTGCTGGAAGGGAAGTGGAAATTGCTAAGCACCTTCACTCCTGGGCAGGCTGCCGCAAACTTTTTCAGCCTCCAGGATTGGCAGAAGTATATTTTTGGCAAAGGCCCGTCACCCGTTCAAGCTGCGGCGTTTACAAATAATGCAGTGCAGAGGGTATACCAGGTTCTTGACTTTTCGGCCAAACCTGGGAGATGGTACAATGTCATCGACGCCACGCCCGCTGGCATCATTTGCTTGGAAGCGGATCTGAGCTCGACAGATGCTGACATCAATTTTCAGTGGACCGGCGGCAAAATTGTTATCAAGAGGCCTCCATGGTCGCAGAAGGATTTGGATGACCCGGTTCGCTTGCCTTATCCTGCAATTTGGCTGCAACAGGTTGCGCGGTGTCTCGGGTGTGTGTGTGTGTGTGTGCAGTGGGAACTGTGGGTGCCAACTTGTTTAAACTTTTGACTTGCGCTCACCCTACTGGACTCGTCAGGTGCCTTTCGCGCTCTTGGGCGACAGGGCCCGGGGAGTCTTTGAGACAGTCTACTTGGATGAGGATCTCCGCAGCTCGGCGAAGAGTTCCGACTGCGCGCGTTTGCGTTGGCTGAAGCCTCCGCCAGGCATTTCCAGAGGCTCCAAGAGTGGCAGCGTGTTTGTTTTGTGCCGGGAAAGCTGCTTGGCTGCAAAAACTCAATGGAGGGCCTCAGATTTGAAGCGTTGGGCAACTTCTTTGCGTATTGCTGGAGCTCAGGAAGCACTTTGCCGATGGAAGACGCCTACTTCCCTTCGTGAACCTGCGGCTTCAATTTCTCCGCTGGCCGTTGCATGTACAAAAAAGAAGGGCGGCAGATTCTCCATTGCACGTGCAGTGTGCGCTTGGTGCCCTTTCGCGACTAACAGCTTCTGTCATTCGCTCATGTCAATGTATTAAATAAATATAGTATACATTTAAATGCACACCTCAGACTGCTTCACCCAGTGCAAAAGCGGGTCAGAAGCAAACAACATGTTTTTGTTTGTTCGGTTGTCTTTTTCCGAAAAAAGAAGAAGAAAGAACCAAAAAGAAAAACACAGTTTGAGCAGGAGAGACACGTTTTTCGAATTTGGACCCGTAAAGACCACAAATTTCGGTGCAAACACTACCTTTTCCCGCACAAATCATGCTGTTTCGGGACACCTGTTTCTTTGGTGGTGTTTAGTGGCTCTCGGTTTGTAAATGAATACGTATATAAATGGAAATTTATCATACGTACTAGCTTGCAATGATGTGTTGCGCACAATTATGATGGAACCTTTTTCTGGATTCATCTGAAAAGAAGCTCGCTCATTCATGTGTGCGTGCTGGCCATTTGGGGTGTTTTGGGAGCTTGCTGCTGGCGAACGTCGGCCGATGGAGGCTGGGGACGTCGCCGCTTTTTCGAATTCCAGTTGCCGTGGGTCGCACATCGCGGTGCTGTTGCTGGGCATACGCCAGTCAGCATACGCCAGCAGATTCCAGGACCGCCATGCGGCTATGACAGCATGCGTTGACCCCAAAGAAATACATGTGCATAAACAAATATGTCGAGTTTCGACGCACAAGTCGCCAGGCCAGATGTGGGGAAGCACGACGCAGATCAGTCATCTCTGCTGCATTACTTATTGCTTGTTTGTTTCGCTGGGGGTCCTGATCCCGCCGACCAGACGTTCCCCAACAAATCATGACCGCCTTCAGATTGGCAGGTGCTAGTGCCGCTTGCTTCATCTCTTGCAAAAGCACGCTTCTTTTGCTGCCGGAAGGCGTGGTGGTCCACATCTTTGCAATCCAAGGCGCGCAGCAATGCGACGGCACTTGGACTGGCAGGACCTACGCCGAGGGCGAGGTGCCCATCCGTTTGTGGGAGGTTTTGCCGCATTCCATTCCACAGGCATCTAAGGGCTCAAAGTGAGTAGAGGGCTTGGAGGGCCACATGGGCAGCAGGTGCTGATCGACTCGAACACTTTTTGCCTGAGAGACTTGGAGCAGAGCCTTCGGCTTCAGACGAATGCTGCAGGCGTGCCAGCGGCTACGGCGACAACTGAGGCAGGGCCCCGGCCTCGTGATGGTCCATGCTTTTGGGTATGGCTGGACAATGCATGACCACAAGAGGAAGAATTGGCGAGAATCATCAAGGAACTCATCGAATATGACAATTGTCTGACATTGCATTCTGGGCCGTTGCTCACCTTGCTTGAGCTCAAAGGGGTGAAAGGCCAGGGTCTGTCAATTGAAGCACATGTGTCTAGAATGCTTTACTTGAAGCATCCTCTCGCTTAACCCCTGCGAACGGCGAAAGTCGAGCTTTCCTGACCTTACATACCTGTTTTGTAGCCTTCTGCCCTGGTTGCTGGCTGTTTTGGGTACTTGAAAACAGCTGGGCGGTTGCATGTGTTGCCCTGGCAGCAGGAGAGCATTGAAGACTTTGACTGTCTTTTCATAGTTCTTGGATGTTCATCCGTAAGCATGACTTTCGAACAGCTTGTGCGATTCTTGAGCCGCCGCTTTGGGCTGTTTGGGGGGATGATGATCAGATCATGTCATGCACGACAGGGCGGCGCAGATGCAGTCAGAGGCCATGCGCAAAGATGCAGTGGGGAGCCTGGAGGATGCTTGCGAATACGGTTGTGATTTGAGCGGCATGTGTTCGATACATTTGTTTGCCAGACGGCTGTTTCCTTGGTTCACTTTTGCACGTGCATGCGTATGTGCACATGTACCCGTGTGCGTTTGGTTATGGTTATTGCTCACTGCTGCTCCTTCTTTGGTTGTGAGGAGCTAAGCTAGTTCCACTGTTTGTTCACTTACTGGCCGTTAGTCCGGCAAACTCTACCGCTAGAAGATGGAATTGGGGGACGGGAGCCTGGAATTCCATGTCTAGTTCCGTTTGCACGTTTTGGGGGAACGACTTGAAAAATGTATCTAGGAATTCGGGGGAGGGGGTGGGGATTGAACATTGGAAACGTGGCTGGAACAGGCTGTAGCCCACTGGCTCATCTGGTCCGATGGATGGCCGCCCTGTTGGCACTATGCTGCCTTGCGCTTCCTGGCACCAGCTGGGCGTTTGGAGCGACGCGGCGGCAAGGGAAAGCCTGACGTTGGGGGGCGGAGCTGCCTTTGCGTAGGGTTCAGAATTGGGGGTCGGGTGCCATTTGTTCTGTGACGGAGTTTCCCAAGCTTCTGGCATTGGCGCGCCAGCCAGTTAAAGTTGGGGGTTGGCATGCCACGAGACGGTGTGCTGGCCTACTCTTTTGCGGGGTGCCGGTTTTTCAGAGCAGGCGGCCAACCAGCTGTGCCGCCCTGAGGACTTGGCTATGCCAGGGCATCTCGCCGGCTGGCTGAACTCCTCGCCGCCGGGCCGAATCTAAAAAACAAGTGGCGACCACACGAGCGCATCACCCAGCAATACCAGCAACCATGGCTATAAGACATACGGCAAGCCAGAAGAAGGAAGCTACTGCCTGCCTTCGACCCTTGGGCCCAGGCTGCACGCCAAGTTCTGGGTTTTGCGGCCGCCGCGAGAACTCCGGCAGCTGCAGGGCCGCGACTTCGAGTTCCCCTGCTGCATGAGGGGCTGTGAGCCAAAGCCCACCCACCATTTTCCCCCACATTCTTGTATAGGGTATTTTTTCTGATGTTGTCCTCCGCGCAGCTCGCTTCTCCTCTTCCTCCTCCGCCTCCGCTCCCTCACTCACTCAGTCAACTCACACTGACTGACTTTACACTACTTACTCAACTTACCCACTCACCCACCCACGCACGCAAGCACGCACTCACTCAACTTACTCACTCACTCACGCATGCACCCCCCCAACCCACCCACCCCACCCCACCCCACCCCACCCCACCCCACCACCACACCCCGCCCCACCCCACCCCACCCACGTACCCACTCACGCACGCACGCACGCACTCACTCACTCAACTTACTCACTCTTTCACTCACTCACTCATTCACCCCACCCACCCCACCCACCCAAGCACCCAAGCACCCACTCACCCACACCCGCACGCACGCACCCACGCACGCACGCACTCACTCACTCACTCACTCACTGACTCACTCACTCACTCACTGACTCACTCACTGAGTCACTCACTGACTCACTGACTGAGTCAGTGAGTGAGTCAGTGATTCAGTCAGCAAGTGAGTGAGTGAGTCAGTCAGTGACTCACTGACTCACTGACTGACTCACTGACTCACTGACTCACTGACTCAGTGACTCACTGACTCACTGACACACTCACTGACTCACTGACTCACTGACTCACTGACTCACGCACTCACTCACTCACTCACTCACTCACTCACTCACTCACTCACTCACTCACTCACTCACTCACTCACTCACTCACTCACTCACTCACTCACTCACTCACTCACTCACTCACGCACGCACGCACGCACGCACGCACGCACGCACGCACGCACGCACGCACGCACGCACGCACGCACTGGCGCACTCACGCACTCACGCACTCACTCACTCACGCACTCACGCACTCACGCACTCACGCCACACTCACGCACTCCTGCACTCACGCGCTCACGCCCGCACGCCCTCGCGCACTCACGCACTGACGCACGCACGCACGCACGCACGCACGCACGCACGCACTCACGCACTCACGCACTCACGCACGCACACGCACGCACGCACGCACGCACGCACGCACGCACTCACGCGCTCACGCGCTCATGCCCTCACGCACTCACGCACGCACGCACGCACGCGCTCACGCGCTCACGCGCTCACGTGCTCACCCACCCCACCCCACCCCACCCCACCCCACCCCACCCCACCCCACCCCACCCCACCCCACCCCACCCCACCCCACCCCACCCCACCCCACCCCACCCCACCCCCCCCACCCCACCCCACCCCACCCCACCCCACCCCACCCCACCCCACCCCACCCCACCCCACCCCACCCCACCCCACCCCACCCCACCCCACCCCACCCCACCCCACCCCACCCCACCCCACCCCACCCCACCCCACCCCACCCCACCCCACCCCACCCCACCCCACCCCACCCCACCCCACCCCACCCCACCCCACCCCACCCCACCCACCCCACCCCACCCCACCCCACCCACCCACTTCACTCTCGCTCTCGCTCTCGCTCTCACCCTCACTCACTCCACTTACACATACTTACTCTCGCTCACCCAACTTACGCTCACTGACTTACGCATGTGTTCTCTCACTCGTCCCGCGAGACGGCAAGCTATTTCAATCCAGGGTTCGATGCAGAATGCCAAGCAGAGTTCAACATCACGGATTCTGAGGACAACCTGTGGGGTGAATGGCCAATGACGAGAGTGTCTAGAATTGAGCGGTCCCACGGAAGTTGGCACTATGGGTGTTTTCTAAATACCAGCTGAGGTGCGAGTACTTTGGCCATATGCGACATTGCCGCATTAGCTCGGATTCTTTTTACCTGCCGCCGTTGTCCTTTATGCCCTTATGAGTTGTACGGCTGCCAAGGTATAGCTTTGAGTTTATGTACCCAGACTTCTTTGAGACCTGCCTGAACGATGGTCAGCACCTCTGGGCTTGAAGTCCACACCTTCTTGGGCTTCTCTCATAGGCTCTATGCTTGCCTTATTCGGTTGCTTCCTTGTCCTGGAGCGGCAGGTAAAGACATGGAGACTTGTGTTGCTTGATGTTGCTTGGGTTTGAATGATGGAAGCAAGTCGGTGCCAGTGAAATCAGTGATCTTTACAGCAGGAAAGAAACACGCATACAAAAACATATGACAGCTGGACCCCAATGGGATGGAGCAGTCTCCATTCTCCATGGGCAATTGCCAGCCCGTGGTTTCTCGGTTGAGAGCCAGCGGGAGAAGCGAGGCATCTCCCTTCCAACCAGACCCGAGGAGCTGAACTCACAGTTCCGGGCGGCCAGCGCGGAGGATGCGGACTTCGTGGTCTTGGATCACTGCGTCACCTACGCGTACCACGTGCTCCGCCGGGGGCCTCGGGTTATGGGGGCCCCGGTCTCGACAAACAAACATTGGGCGGATGCGTGCGCAGTTGCCAGCCACAAGCCCTGAAACCTTCCACCATGGTAGAGTGCTTCAAATTCGTGCTTCTCAGCAAGCCCGCGGACAGCTGCAAACATACCATCTCACGCCAATTCCGGCTTACTGCTGCTGACGACCACCGTCAAAGTGGGGATGAAACAGCAACGCCGACAGGCAATTGCAATCTAAGTGCGGCTTCGATCCTCCATATCCATGCGATTGCCAGGCTATGGGGCCGGCTACAACACTGTCAAATTGACCTGGGAAGCCCTGCGGATCGTTCAGGATTGTCTTGGCGGGCTTTGGTTCTTTTGGGAGTTCCTGCTTGTTCCACCACCTTTCGAAACAGAGTTCCTCTTCGGGAACGGCTTTAGCAGCATGAGGCAGAAGGTGCCAACCGATTTTTCTCAGGGGCTCCTGCGCACAGATGCTAGGAGTCGTACTTGTTGCCCATCATTCGCTGGGCTGAGACAACTCCTGCTTACCAGAAATCCCAGGGCAGGCCGGCATAACATGCTGACACCCAAAGTTTTATATGAGCCTAAGTGAGAGCGCTGGGAAACATTGATGCTGCAAACATTTGCTGGTGCACAGGAACTTTGTCATTGTGTTTGCCATGGACAAGGGCCGCGTTGACTACCCGATGGCGTCCAGAGCAACGCAGCACTGGCACGCAATCACCACCGCCCGCCACTCAGCAGGCGGTGGCCTGCTTCCGTCGTTGACAGCAAGCCATGGACCAAGGTTGGAAACGGCACGTGCTACCCTCAGCATTGAAGAATACTGAAAGGAAAGTGCACGAAAATCCCTGCCCCGCTGGTTTTGTATCGTTTTGCGGGAGTGTCGGCGAATTATGGTGAAGCGGGGGCCCATCCTTTTTGCTTTCTCGAAAGGTCTGGCTTGTAGCGCGTCGCTTTGCTTATCAACGTGGCTGTTTGAAATTCTGGTTTTGCCTAGGACTTGGATGAAGAGGCGCGGGATGCATGACGAGTAGCCCTTCGAAGCAGTGCCATATGTCAGGAACTCTCCTTGGCTTTTGCCTGATGCCGGCGGGAATGATCCATGCAGGGGCCGCACCAGCACCTCAAAGAGGCCAGGTTTGTGTGCAAGACCCGTCCATTTTCTTGCTGCGTGAGAGGCGGCTGATCTACTACGAGCAGGCACCGATTGCGATGGCTTGGACCGTATTCCTTGTGGCGTTTGGCGCCAAGCCTTGGTTGCTATTGGGTTGCATCTTGAAAGTCTCACTTTTTGGTTGAAGTCATGGGGGATTTTCATCACCCCACAACCAGCTGAGCATTTTTTGCGGTCGTGCAACCGAGCAGAGCGTCGAGCTGTCAGCGCTGTCAGGACGTGGTGGTGCCGGTGCCCACCGGCTCTGAGTGGGCACCGGAGGCCGAGCAGGTGGAAAACCGCCACCTCCTGCTGTTCTACGCGGCCTCTCCGTGCCCCGTGCGAAGGGGGAGGAGGGGTTCGGCCAATGGCGGCCAGGTTGGATTTCATGGATGTGCAAGCCACATATTGGGCCAGCTGGGAAGTTTGATGTGACTACCATGAGCATGAAGCCTTATCATTCTATCGTGTCTTTGCTTCGGATAAGGGCTTTCATCACACCAACTGCAGCCCAATTGGCGCTTCAACAAGCGGACGATGAGTCCAGTGCCCTGTGCGTACCCCGCCCCCCGCCCCCCACCCCCCCGCCCCATTTTTGTCTTCAGTCATCGGCACATGGGCAGCCAGTCAACGTGCATGGTTGTCGAGCCTAGGAACAGCTGCATCCGAAGGCACCTTGCTCGGCAGCTGGCAGAGTCCGATGATGCTGAGGCGCGCCCACCCCCCTCCATTTATCAATGATGCTGTGGGCCAGGGCAGATGTGTCTACACTCAAGTTAAATTGACTTTGCCAACGTCATCGTACCAATCGGCCAAATCACCGCCCTGTCCTCGCGTTGGATGCGAAGTTGTACACTATTTTGCCTGCGTGAGCCTGTGGGTCAAATCCCCTCGACGCTTACAAGTGACATCTGGCAGTTGGCCCGTCCACGTTGCAGGTGCTCGTGATTCCAAAGCCCATTCCAAAGAAGCCCTGGAGTGACTTCCTGTACAGGTCAAAGTTCTGCCCCTCGACGAGGTTGTATGTTTGTGCTGCTGGCACTTTGGGCTGTACTCGGGGAAAGGAAAGGAAGCTGTTTAGCGGGGCAGGCCGTGAGACGAGTTGCATCTTTTGTACTCGTACCCCTTGCAAGCACTCGTTCTTGGACAGCTGGCATTGGCAGCCTTTTGCTTCGCACAGCGCTGAGGCTTTGTGCCGGATGGCTTCTCCTCGATCTCTGCCAGGCTGTACGAGGCACATGTTTGCACGACATGAGATTGCAGCTCGCAGCATGCGGTAGCCTGCACATCTAGTTGCAGTTGTTCTCGGCCAACTGCTTGCACAGATGCATAGGCCGTTCCACGTCGATCACCCCCAATCCAGCAACCCCGGTCCTTGGTCTTTGTTCTTTGTGGCCCACCTGCTTGAATGGAATCTTCTTAAAGGTCGTTGGAGGATTTCTTTTGTGGTCTTTTGTGGATAAGTGTGACCCACAGCCTTCTCCAATTGGGTTTGTGGCGACCCTGGTGTGGTCAGGTGTTACTGCATGGCTGCGTGCCAGTTCTTCTAACGCACGCCTTCCACCCGCCGGCCCCTCAAACTGTGCAGGCAATAGCTTGGGTACTCTTTGCACCTTTCATTCTGGCTTTCAGCGAATGGCCGGCAACAGCCTGAAAGCCAGGCCCTTTGAGAGGTTGGTGGATTGGCGGCGCATCGCCGTGTTCCTGCGCAACAGCGAGGCTTTCTCTGGCTGGGCAAAAACTTGTTGGGTTCATCTTTGCAAGGCATGTCGGAATGTGTCCATTCGAATAATTTGTATCGACACTGGCAGCAAATGCGTGCAATTTTTGACTGACACTTGTTTGCCTGACATGTTCATACCACTCTTGCGTGAGGTGGCTGATGCCTCGTCAATTCTGAAAAACATCAGCGAGGAGGCGCCCGATGGTTTCAAGTTGTGTCATATTGGCAGTTGTCATTTCAGATGCGGAGGGGTTTTGCACCCAGTAGCGCGTGCCTGAGTGAGCAGGAGTATCTCTCCATGCACAGAGAGGTGGTCCGAGCTCGTCGTTTACTGCATCTTGGATCAGCATTGAGCAAGATAGGGGCGAGAAAGTTGGGGTGAAGGGGTCCTTCACAGCGGAATTAGTTTCTTGGAAAAATGGATGTCAAATCACCAGCCGCCAATGCAATGCCAGCTGAGGAATGTGCATGTCGCTCAGCTGGAAGAGCTTGAACTGTGTCACGTACTCGCTTGGAGATAGTAGAGATTGAATCATTGTTTGTGCGTTCATTTTGCCACTGAGGACATGCCATTCTGGATCGCCACGAATTTGGAACTCCAGCTCCGACAGCGACATTAATCTCAGACTCGGTCCTGCAGCCGAAGGATTCGAAGCTGATTCGAAGCTGATGCCCCAGGGCAAGCGCGCACGCTTGCAGAGCCGGAACGCTGCCTTTTCGGCGCCCGCGTGGCGAAGGAGGTGAACGGCCAGGGCTGGCCATCGTAGCCGCCCCGCGAGCGTGAAGAAACTCAGAGCGGCAACGACTGATCTCAACGCGAAGCTTGGTGCGATGCGAATCCGGTCCGCAGCGAGGCGAGGACAAAAAGGCAAAGTTGACCGCGACCACCTGCTTTGCGTTCTTTTGTGAAGCTCATCCCAGACACTGGTGGACCTTGTGGCCAACACATGTGTTGCATCATTGCATCTCAGGTCGGTCTTGCTGCTACACTTCAAAGAAAGGACGCATGTTCGCTGAACCGGTCGTCCAACGGCTGCATTGGATGACACTGCAAGCCTACAATCAAGGACCAATGCAGTCGAAGCTTGCCGGCCATGTGCCTCAGGGCATGTCCACTTGCTAGACCAAAAGAGACGGGTTCGCTCTGCAGGCTTGATCGCTGTCAGGGTGACATTCAGACTGGTTGACGTGTTCGTGCGCGGGATCCGCCTTACGAGGAGGGGTGCCAAAACAGAAGCCGGAGCACACGGCTTTATGAGCGCAGACCTGAGCGGGGTTCGTACAAGCAACTTGAGCCCGTGGTGGAAGGGCGCCAGGGTTGGAAGGGCGCCATTGCTATGAGGAGTTGATGCCTGGGATTCCACTTTCCCTGCTAGACAACATGGAATTGAGGAATGTTGAGCCTTAATTCGAAAACTGTCGGCAGACAGGGTGTTCCCACAACATAAGCTCCACCGTTACGTAACCGTCCGCGCTCAAGACAATGCAATCACGCAGGCCAATGCAAAATGCACTTTGTTTTTGGGCCAGAAGTTGATGCAGCTGGCCGTTTTCCATCGAAAAAGCAACGCGTTTGCTCCGGCGCCTATGCATTTTAACGATCAACGAGATCAAGATCTTTCCATGTGGCAGGCATGTGCGTGTGCAGTGCTGAGTGGGTGCGCTTCAGCGGGTGCGCTTGCCATGTGGCAGACTTGTGTGTGCGTTTGTTTGTTTGCTTGTTTGTTTGTTTGTTTCTTTGTTTGTTTGTTTGTTTGTGTGTGTGTGTGCGTGCGTGCGTGTGGGTGTGGGTGTGGGTGTGGGTGTGGGTGTGGGTGTGGGTGTGGGTGTGGGTGCGTGTGCGTGTGCGTGTGCGTGCGCGTGCTCGTGTGCGTGTGCGTGTGCGTGTGTGTGTGTGTGTGTGTGTGTGGGTGTGGGTGCGTGCGTGCGTGCGTGCGTGCGTGCGTGCGTGCGTGCGTGCGTGGGTGGGTGGGTGGGTGGGTGGGTGTGTGGGTGTGTGGGTGTGTGTGTGGGTGTGTGTGTGTGTTTGTGTGTGTGTGTCTGTCTGTGTGTGTGTCTGTGTCTGTGTCTGTGTCTGTGTCTGTGTCTGTGTCTGTGTCTGTGTCTGTGTCTGTGTCTGTGTCTGTCTGTGTCTGTGTCTGTGTCTCTGTCTGTGTGTGCGCTCAGTGCTGGGCGGGTGCACGTGACTGGGTGTGCTTGCCATTTGGCAGGCCCGCGTGCAGTGCTCAGTGGATGTGCTTACTTACCATTTGGCAGGCATCTGTGCTGTGCAGAGCAGGCACGCTTCCGCGGGCCCGCTTACCGTCTGGCAGGCGTGTGTGCAGTGCTGAGCATGTGCACTTGAGCGGGCGTGCTTACCATTTGCTCGGGTGCTTACCATCTGGCAGGCGTGCGTGCAGCGCTGAGTGCCCGCACTTGAGCAGGCGTTCTTACCGTTTGGTACCATATGAAAATCGTGCGCAGTGCTGAGCTGGTGCTCGTTTGGTGAAAATTCGTGAGACGAGGGCGCGCCACGACACATGAAATGCCATATGAAACCAAGGTGCACGAGGTGAAAGCTGTCCAAAATGTTGCGCAGGAACGCGTTTGGTGAGAACTTGTGAGACGTGCCCCGCCCCGCAAATAGGTGAAATGCCATCTGAAACTAAGGTGCGCAAGGTAAAAGGTCTCCGAAATATGGAATGCTGCGCAGGCCACACGAAACACAGTTGGCGAAAACTGGTGTAAAGCGCGCTTACGTCCGGTGGAGCCCAAAATAAAGATTAACGCCCCCACAAAACAGGGTCCCCGAACACTAAGTTGGGGGTGTAAGATCATTGAGATCAACGCTGTTCCGTGTGCATTGGCTCCAGGGAACCTTCCCAGCTGGCCTGGAGACGAGAGAAAGAACAAAAGGAAGCGAGAGCAACATGTGACCTCATCGCCTTCCCCTGCAGCGGTATCACTTCAATAAAAGCTGCCCAGGCAGCAGCAGTTGGAGTCGCCGGTGTGTAGCCCAGTATTTTTGTTTCTCGATTGCGCGCCGGGGCTCTATGTTTTGGCTGATCAGGCAAACCCAGGGTTGGGTCAGGCCTTCCCATGAGAAAAGCATAGACAACCCCTAAACTCAGTGTAAATATGCTTCAACGGCTTCTTGCAGCCAAAAAGTCTGACGCACAAATGATGGCGTGACTGCTTCTCCATCAGAACCTGGGAAAATGCGGACAGTACCGCAGGGGACAAAGGTGATCACAGGGGAATCTAAATACAGCTTGTTTGGACATAGCAGGGGTGTCGCCTAGGCTATTCTAGGCTAGACGGGTTTGCCACATACGCAACCTTTGCCGTTGCATGTTGCCCGGGCGCATGCTTTTCTGAGCCGTGCCAGCTCTCGGTCCGCCCTTTCTGAAGTTTCAGTCAGTAGTGTTCTGAAGAAGCCCTGACTCACTGCTGTTGAAATGGGATGTGCCAGTCAGCTTTCGGCTTCTCTTTTGATCGAATCCAACACAGAGTTCGCCCCACCGATCACCAGCCACTTCAACCGCTTCATGGGCTGAGGCGGCACCTCAACACTTTCACCAGCAACTTGCTGGCATTGCGCTTTCATCTAAACAGAGTGTCTTGAGCTTTGTGCCGTGAATAGAAGGAATGACGGGTGTCCACAATGTGTGAACTAAATTTGTCATTTCATTGCGCTGTAGGCTGTTGTGCTTTGTTCAATTTATCCTTGCTCAGAGTGAGAGGATTCCAGACCAATGACGGGCAATGCGATCAGAACGGAAAGGCCATGACGACCACGGAGGAGCATGAAGGGCCAGAAGTTATCGCCTGTGGTTTGCAAAGTGACCCCCTTTTGTGGTGGGGGGGGCATGCTTTTCTGGATTCTGCACCCGGCCTCAGGAAGCCCTGCGCGTCCCAACCTTCGCGACCAAAGCCGCAGGGGGCGGAGAGCGGCAACTTCGCGGCTGGGGCCACAGCGCTGCTTTCTGCCCCAAAAGATTTGTTCCCAAGTGAGGATTTGACGCATTGACCATGCACGAAAAGCTAGATGGCCCTCTCTGCATGAATCCCATTCGGCTCGAGTTGGCGCAAAGGTTTCCCAAAGCGACTCGACCTGTTGGTGTGTGCGCTTGTGTCACACAAAGAATGAGGATCATTCGCCAGATGTGCCGAACACGCTGAGCATGGCTGCTCTCAAGGCTCCTGTTCAATCCTCTTGGCGCCCTATAGAGACAAAGGCCCCCAGGTGTTGAGCCATTGACTCGTAGCACAACGCACCCTCCAGGCCACACTTCCGATCGGCTTAGGTCCCACGGCGTCAAGTGGACCTCCAGTGTGTGAAGCCGCCCAAAGCCTACGAGGCGAGGGCAATGCCTAGCAGTTCGTGAATAACCTCGGCTTGTGATTTCACACGTCTTGTTTCTTCATGAATTCACCATGTTGAATAAAAAAAGACTTCCGCCAACATGACTTACCAGCTGATTTGCTTGATTCACCAGTTGATTCACCACCTGCTTCAAGTAAAAGTTTGAACCTCACTGCCCTTGGCACTGCAGGCACCGCCGGAGGCCATCTCTGCGGCAGCGTCGCCCCAACATCAAAGACTGCCTCCCCCGAAGGCGCGGGCAACGGGCAAGGCGTGGGACACCCAAATGCGAACGGGGAAACGTCACAAAATGTCACAAAGGAAGATGACAGATTGCAATCTACAAAGGATCCCTTGGTAGCGCTCCCTAGGCAAGCGCCATTCTCCCTGTCTGATGTTTCATGATGCCCTGCACAGGAGCTCCAGGAAAGTTGGGCCGATTGGTGGTTTTGATGACGTGACACCTCCAGAAAGGCAAATTGCTGACCCACAGGCCCTGCACGCGGAGCTAAATTTTGAGCCGCCAGGGTGCATCAAGTGCAACTTGTTCGAAGTGGTTGGCTTTGAAAAAACTCAAGCTGGGCCTTTTCGTTGTGTAAGGGGCCGTCCCTGAATTAACTTGTCCCGCAGGCTCAAACCATTCTAAACCGACGCTGAGGAGAACAGAACTCAAAAAAGCACACATAAAAGCGATACCCCACTACTGAGGGGAAGCGCACATCGCACAACACAAAAGTGCAACTGGCTGTGCTACGGGACACACAAAAAAAGGATGGACCGCCCGAAGGAGAACAAACACGTACGTCTGTTGAGGCGCTGACCAAAGATTTGGCCAGACCTGAGCTCAGCGGGTGGGGCAAGCGCCGATGGTGTGCCTGCCTGCGCACCCTCTCGTCTTCTCAGTGGACCTTCAAGCCGCCTTTGTTTGAGACCCTTCAACTGGCTTCAACATGACCAATGGAAGCTCGAGCGCCCTCCTGAAATCTTCCTAAGATGAAACTGCGGGAAGTTCCCATGTATGCTGGCCAGCAACTTTCCCATTTGTTGCGAGTTTGAGAACGTGCAAGGTGTCACATTTGCCCTGATCGTGTTTTTCTTCGTATGGGGGGGAACCAGTCATAGCTACTTGTACATTGACGTCAGTCAAAGGAGCTATCCTTCAATTCCATCCAGTGTTGCCTTGGCCGTGCGGCCGAGGTGCAAACGATGTGGCCGTGGTGGCCCTCATCAAATTAGGGGCGGATGGCGGCATCCCCTATCTCCAGCCACAGCAATGGGAGCCCCCATGGAGTTCTGGATTGGAAGCTGAGGGGTGTTTGCTGATGAGAGGAAGTACATGGAAAGCTCCATAATTTGGTTCATAGGAGTTTGGAGCAATCTTTGCACTCTGGTGGGTTTTGGTGCAAGAACACCGTGTCGATCCTGTCATACTTGGGAGTCGCTGCAATTTGCTGCACTCCGGTTCTGCCTTGGCGTGCCCTCTTTGGAGGCTGTTTGCCCGCATGTTTTTTGTTCCTTAGGCCGGCAAGTTTTGCAGCAGAAGGCTCAAAGAAGTCAAACCGGCAAAATGGCAAGCCGCGCTTGATCTACACGACTCTGCCGCAGTAGCTTTGCAATTCGGTGTGGGGATCGCATCCCATAAGATAACGACGCACTAAAGGGGTCAGCAACTCTGAAGCCAACTTTGCAGCATTTGGCAGCATGTGAGGGCTAGCAGGCCTTTTCTGATGGGCGGCCCGAACACATCGCTGCAATCCACATGGCCGTCCTTTGATGACACGATTGGCGCGTCGGAGGGCCAAAGCTGCCCTGGTGTTGGCTCCAGCCTCAGTGTCGGATGATGCTAGATGCATCCGGCTCGCCTTTTTCCGTTCAACAATGTGCCCTTTGATGTCCTGTTGAGAGTGTGAGGCGTGCGTATATAGGACAAGTGTGCGTTTGACATGTCGGCTCGTCATGCCCAATGTGCCGGAGCATGCCACAACTCTGCCCCATCAATATGTCAAATTACATTAGTATAGTATATAGTCGGGGCTTTCCATTGTCATGTTATTGGACCTCCCTCTCTTCACAGACATTTTCCCCAAGCTTGCCAAGAACACTTTCTGCACCTCCACTTTCCAACACCTGCCTGCTCCGCTACGTCAACCTGTGGTATTTCAGGCCTGCGGCAGTTGCACGCTGCTGCCATGCTTCGCTGCTTGCCTGCATGAAGTCGTGGACGGCCAGAGGCCCCAGGCCCCGGCAATCAACGAGTAATTACGCTGATTTCAGGGCATGTCCGTAGGTTGACTTGGGGGTCGCTCATACCTGGACCAACCACGTATGCAGGAAAAACGCCTTCGAGAGAAAATGCACAAAAAAATGGCATTGTTCTTCAAAAGCGCCTTTGTGTTCAAAAAAAGCTTTCGCAGCGCAATGCCACACTGACGCATTGCCTGGTCTGTCTGCCTTCTCGAAGCCTGTACGTGAGAACCTTTGATTTGGATCTGCTCATTTGGACATCCATTTCTTCGACATTGGCCGTTGCTGCATGCAGGTTGTTTTCCACCAGAGAGCCGTCTGAATCCCCTCATGGCCAGCACTGTCAGTTCGAGGGGCCGATTTGGAATGAGAAATATGGCGCGAATGTCAGCCAAAACCAGTTTTGCAGCTTGCTGTTGTTTGTTCCGGCAATTTCCGCCTTTTTCCGGCAATTTCCGCCTTTGTTCCGGCAATTTCCGCCTTTGTTTTGGCAGTGGCTGCTTTTGTGTTCATGTGCAATTTCACGAGCCACTGGCCAATTGCGTTTCTGGAATAAAGAGTGCTGCTGATGCGCTGAATCCGCACGCGATTCGTTGAGGAAAGTGATATTTTCCAAAAAGCTGCTAAAGAAAATATCTTTGTAGACGGAAGCATGCGCGCAATCCAACATGTCAAGCACGGAAGCACGAGCCCCGGCGAGGGCTGAGCCCAGATTGGGGTAAGCCCCCCCATATTTCAGAAAAACGCCCTCGATCTAAAAAATAAGCGCCCAGTCCAAATTTAAAGAAATTTCTGAAAAGGCAAAAAAACTGCACACTTAAGACGCTGCAGGTAAGCAGTCATTTGCAAGTTGAGCCAGCTCAAGCAGACTGCGTTGATTGATCGTGGGGCCAGCAAGCGGCAAGCGCAATGAGGGCTTCCTTCAAGCGGGCCTAGCACGTTGCTTGTGCGAACCCTTGATTGTGAAGACATTCTTCCACTTGAACATCTGCTGCCCGCAACTGCCAATCCAGAAAGACGCTGCGTTGTCCAGCATTTTGCCTGGGAGGGGTATTTATTTTAGGAATTGTTTTCGTGTTTTTTTGGGATTTTTTTTCGCTTTTGGCTTCTTGGCTTCTTGGCTTCTTGGCTTCTTGGCTTCTTGGCTTCTTGGCTTCTCGGCTTCTTGGCTTCTTGGCTTTTCGGCTTCTTGGCTTCTCGGCTTCTCGGCTTCTCGGCTTCTCGGCTTCTGGCTTCTTGGCTTCTTGGCTTCTTGGCTTCTTGGCTTCTTGGCTTTTCGGCTTCTTGGCTTCTCGGCTTCTGGGCTTCTAGGCTTTTCGGCTTTTTGCTGGTTTATGCGGCTTTTGGTGGCTTTTTGGCTTTTCGCATCCTCTGCATTCCCAGTTCCTCTTCGGCAGGTGGCGTTTTTCCGACATCATGGGGGGGCCCCCCAACCCCCCCGCTACGTTTTAGATTTTCTGCAGAGATTTAATTAGTTGCACCCCTAGTTGAATCATCAATTCTTCGAACATCATGGGGGGGTTGCACCCCTAGTTGAATCATCAATTCTTCGACCATCATGGGGGTAATCTGTGTAGTCCGTGTATGTCTGTATGTATGCATTTCTTCGAACATCATAGGGGAAGCCACCCCCGCCAACCCTCCCGCTGCCTTGTAAATTCTATCACACCCTTTCTTGAATCATTGCACCCCTACTTGAATCACCACTTCTTCCGACATCATGGGGGGGCTGCCGCCCCCCCCAACCCCCCCGCTACGTTTAGATTTTCTACAGAGATTTAATTAATTGCACCCCTAGTTGAATCATCAATTCTTCAACCATCATGGGGGGGGGCTGCCGCCCCCCCCAACCCCCCCGCTACTTTTTAGACTTTTTGCAGAGATTTAATTGCACCCCTATTCAAATCATCACTTCTGCAAACAACATCGTGGGGGGGCTGCCGCCCCCCCCAACCCCCCCGCTACTTTTTATATTTTTTACAGGGATTGACATGCCCTCCTACTTGAATCATCATTTCTTTGACCCCGTCACACGATTTGTGGGTGATGCTAGGGATGTTGGTGGGACATGCGGGGTATATTTCGCGAGAACATGCTGTAAAATACGACACTTTACTGGCCCGGCAGAGATTGAATTGCACCCATCACTGAATCATCACTTTTTCGAGCGTCCAATTTCGCGAGAAAATGCTGCAAAATACGACATTTTAGGTAATCTGTGTAGTCCGTGTATGTCTGTATGTATGCATTTCTTCGAACATCATAGGGGAAGCCACCCCCGCCAACCCTCCCGCTGCCTTGTAAATTCTATCACACCCTTTCTTGAATCATTGCACCCCTACTTGAATCACCACTTCTTCCGACATCATGGGGGGGCTGCCGCCCCCCCCCAACCCCCCCGCTACGTTTTAGATTTTCTACAGAGATTTAATTAATTGCACCCCTAGTTGAATCATCAATTCTTCGAACATCATGGGGGGGGCTGCCGCCCCCCCCAACCCCCCCGCTACTTTTTAGACTTTTTGCAGAGATTTAATTGCACCCCTGTTCGAATCATCACTACCCCGCTCTGTTTTTCTTAATTGTTTTTTTTTGATTTTTTTTTGCTGGGATTGAAATGCCCTCCTGTTTGAAGCATTATTGTTTTGACCCCGTCAATCCGCCAGCTACATTTGTTGGTGATGCTAGGGATGTTGGTCGGACATGCGGGGGATGTTGAAAACGATGCTGGGGATGTTAACGAGCTAGTGTAAAATGCGTCAATTTCGCGAGAAAATGCTGTAAAATACGACATTTTGCTGGCCCGGAAGAAAAACGAAAAAAATTCCCAAAAAAAAACGAAAAAAATTCCCAAAATAAATCCGCACCCTTTTGCCTGCGTTTGCCGGAGGTTTGTGCTCCTGTGGGCCATCAGCCACTTTTAGCGTCGGTGGCCAAGGCCGGGCCAAGGAATCGCACATGTCTTGCGGGGCCAGTTGGGCGACAGCCCCACTTGAGAGGAGAAAAAGAGTTTGCTGGAGAGATGCATAGAGCGTGGAGGGGAGGGGGTAGCGGTTCCATCTCGAACAACTGCTGCAAGGTATGCAAAGTTCATTGTAATTAGCGTGAATTTGCCGTGGGGGATATCACCTGAGACCCAAAAATTAGGTCGACTCAGTGAAGGTCTCCGGCTCAGGACGCGCCAGCTCCAGAGCCCTTGCTCCTGGGCAAGCCTGGCAGAGCAGGAGGCGCTTGACTTAGGTCTAAGCCAAGGCGCCCTTGTGCAACTCACGGGAAGCACATTGCATCCGCTTATTGCACGCATACGCACAAGCGTATTCCCAACCATGGTTCCTGCAATGCATGTTCACATGAGAAAACTGCCAGCTGCGTACTGGCCCGTCCAATCGGATACGGTTCTGCCGTCTGTCATCGGATACTCTTAGACCCGTGAATCACGTACTCGCGACCCGCGCACTCATCGATGATTTTAGGGTCGGTCCAAGGTTGGTTTAGGGTTGGTTTGGGGTTGGTTTAGGGTTAGTTTAGGGTCGGTTTAGGGTCGGTTTAGGCTTGGTTTAAGCTTGGTTTAGGGTCAGTTTAGGGTGGGTTTAGGGTCGGTCTAGGGTTGGTTTAGGGTTGGTTTAGGGTTGGTTTAGGGTTGGTTTAGGTTGGTTTAGGGTGGGTTTAGGGTCGGTTTAGGGTCGGTTTAGGGTGGGTTTAGGCTTGGTTTAGGCTTGGTTTAGGCTTGGTTTAGGGTTGGTTTAGGGTCGGTTTAGGGTGTTTAGGGTTGGTTTGGAGTTGATTTAGGGTTGGTTTAGGGTCGGTTTAGGCTTGGTTTGGGGTTGGTTTAGGTTTGGTTTGGGGTTGGTTTAGGCTTGGTTCAGGGTGGGTTCAGGGTGGGTTTAGGGTCGGTCCAAGGTTGGTTTAGGGTTGGTTTAGGGTTGGTTTGGGTTTGGGTTAGGTTTGGTTTAGGGTTGGTTTAGGGTCGGTT